ATCAGGGATTCGTAGGTCTTTTCAGGATGCCCTTCATCGTAGGTACGGTATCGGCTGATATCAAAAGACATAAGCTTTGAGTGTTCAATCTTCCGGAACAATGTATCACGCAGGGAGTTTGCAGAAGGCAGATCATCATGTTTCATGTTATATACGATGTCAAGCCATTTGTTGTAGAATGCCTCAAGCTGGTCATCTCCATAGTAGTTGAACAGATACAAATGATGGGCATTGTAGAGAACTTCAGTGTGATCAGGAGACTTGAAGCTGATCAATATCATTGCAAATAGCTCTCGTCCCTTGATGAAGTCCCCACTTCTCCCATACAATTGGTTCTTCATGGACATTTCATACTTCACTTGCATGGACTTGTCCCCAGCATTGTCAATGACTTTCCTCAAGGCATTGGATAGCTTGGCGTCAATGGATTGGAATCTCACATCAGGAGCTTTGGCCAGGACCTCCAAGTCGGGTTGATCTGCAAGACATGGGGCTAGCCACGCTTTCCAATCTTCATAGTTTCGATCTCCACTTGCAACACAAACTTCATGAACAACACTTCCCTTCCAGGATGAAAGTTCAGTGGTCTTAGGCCATGGTTGGAGGCTGATCTTTTCCGCTTCTCTTAGAGATACGGATGACTTGGATCTATCCCTCTCAAGGTTCTCCAACTCCTTGACATTGGTGTTGTACTCGTTCCTGAGCTTTTCGAAGGCTTCAGCTTCTGCTCGGTATTCCTGCTCTTCATCGTTGGCGCGATCTTCAGCTTGAGAGAAATTGTTTTTGTAATAATCTTTCCGATCTTCCATCTTCTTCAACTCATCTTGAAGATTTCGAACTTCATTGTTCTTCTCTTGCTTCATCTCGTCCAACTCTGCTTTCAGTTTGGCACACTTCTCTTCGCATTCATTCCGAGGCATAGCATTACTGGGGTACCCATGTAATGTAGTCGGTCTATTCTTTGATGACGAAGAATGAGCTTGATTTTCCAACTTCAGGGCAGCAATAGTGCTCGACATCTCTTCTACCTCAGCGAAACGCTCGTTGGCCAATTGATGCATCTCGGTCAAGTGGCTTTCAGGAATGGAATAGTCAGTCGCACCTTTGATCACGAGTCTTCTGTCGTTCAACATCTTGAAGGACTTACCTGCATCCCTGTGAGCACGCTCAAGAGAATCCTTTTGGGCTTCAAGTTCAGTATGAAGGCGAGCAATAGCTGTGTCCCTGTCATTGAGTTCATTGTGCAAACTGTCGAACAAGTTACTCGTCACATTCGGATTGTTGCTCATGTGATCGATCTTGTTCAGAGCATCTTGATATTTCTTGCCAGTCTCATCGAAGTTTCGTTGGAAGACTTTGAGTAGGTCCTCAGTGTCGATGAGTTCAGCTCTGTTCTGTAAGTACAACTTGTCAACCTCAGCCTTGGATTCCTTCAAGCTGTCACGCTCATGCACGGCTTGCATATACATCTCGTATAGAGGCCCTCCATGTGGTGATCTGCTTGGTGAAGATCTTCTGGCTTGTTGACAGGAGAGTTCATGATACTGATTCTTCGATTCCGTCAGTTGTTGTTGCATTCGATCTAAAAGACTTTGTTTCATGTGTAGTTCAGAACGTAGTCCCATTATCCTCATGTCCCGCATGCCACCTGATTCAGCTAGAGATTCTTCAGAAACCTTGTTCTCAGAAATCGCTAGTCGAGATTGTAGGTTCTCATTCTGAATCATCTGCAATCGAAGTTGCGATTCTTCCAAAGCTAGATGATGTTCACATTCTGCATAACGGTCATGTTCAGATCTTATGTTACTACGGAACTCCTTCATGATCTCGTCCCTCTTCATGTCAGCAGCATCGAGCTCAGTTTCCAGTTGTCTGACGTTCATGGCCATGGTGTGCTTCATTGTCTGGTTTTGATTGGCAACTTCGAGCATCTCGATCTGTAAAGCACATGTTTGATCATTGGCGTAGCCGACCGCTAGAGCTTCCTGCTTGGCATTCATCTCCGCGTTTTCCAGTTCCAGTCTGAGTTGATTGATGTGAGCATTCGCATCAGCGCCCACATGTACCATAATTGCGCTCGCTTGTCCCATTTGTTCATCGAATTCCGAACGTAGTCGTGAATACTTGAATTCCAAATGAGATGCAGCTTCATTCGACATAGTCTGATACCTTTCCAACTCTTCGATCCTGTAGGTCGCACCTTCATCTTCTTGTTGTGCAGCTTGTAACTCGAAGTTCAGCATCTGGAGTTGTTCGGTCATCGACATCATCTCTTGATGAGTGGTGCTTTCCAGGAAATTAAATTGTTGATAGGCATGAGCTGTCGTCTCGGCCAATCTTGCCTGAAGTACGGATTCTTCTTCAGTAGCCTTTTCCAGTGATGTTTTGTATTCAGCTAATTCGCTCTGATAGGCAGTGAAGATGTCGCTACCACTTGATGGGGCGTTCACTTGCTGATAAGATCCTGTCCCTGATGGAGTAGCGTCCTGAATCGGTGAAGGCGGATTCGACGACGTAGTCTTTGCCTTAGTCCTTGGAGTCATCGGAGGCGACAATTGTCGTGCAGATGATCTTCTCTTTCCAGGTGTGCTGTCCCTATCTTCAATTGCTTGCATTGTCGAAATTTGTCTCCCTCTAGGAGCAACCAGAGGTCGCCTGGGTAGGCTTGTTCTCAGTTCTGAGGCATCGCTTCCACCAGTGTCGATACTCTGTGAAGAATTTGACTGCGTGCCGGCAGCTGGTGCAACGGCATGTCCAGAGAAAGAAAATGCATTATCGCTGCTATCCTGTTCAGTCATCTGTAAGGCCCGCGGCTACCCGCTCGTAGGCTCCGTAGGAGTCCTACGGCTGATAACCTGAGAATCGGGGATTGCTTGCCCGATTATGTCCTAATTGTCAATGTCAAAGTGGTTGTTCCAATGACGACGCGACAAGGGCACCAGCTTCCGCATTGCTATTGTTTTCTCTGTCGCTGCAGTGGGTCTTGAGCCAAAAGGGCGAGTGTCATACCCTTTGGCTGTGGATCTTAGAGTGTTGAATTATGTGATATTGTACAATGGTCCGTAGCTTACACTCTATTCGCATAATGTATGTAATGTATGTAATGTATGTAATGTATGTAATGTATGTATGTATGTATGTATGTACGTACGTACGTACGTACGTACGTACGTATGTATCTATGTATCTATGTATGTCTGTCTGTCTGTCTGTCTGTCTGTCTGTCTGTCTGTCGGTCTGTCTGCCTGCCTGCATGTAATGTAATGTAACGTAATGCAATGTAATGTAATGTCATGTCATGTCATGTCATGTCATGTAATGTAATGTAATGTACGTATGTACATATGTATGTGTGTATGTGTGTGTATGTGTGTATGTATGTATGTATGTATGTATGTATGTATGTATGTATGTATGTATGTATGTATGTATGTATGTATCTATGCATGTATGTATGCATTCTGTTCTGTTATGTTATGTTTTGTATGTATGTATGCGTGTATGTATGTATGTATGTATGTATGTATGTATGTATGTATGTATGTATGTATGTATGTATGTATGTATGTATTATAATGGTATCCTTATATAAATGTATAATTTCATAGATACATAATTACATAATTCTATACTTGTATAATTGTATAATTATAGAATTATATAATTATATATATAATATTATTAATAGACGTTTATGGTTGCTATGTCTTTCATATTCATGGGAATTTCAAACCGGCTCACTTACAACCCGGAGACCTCACCTCGTGCGATTATGACGTACTCTGTTGCGGTCGGGATTATGTTTCCCATGAGCACCACCAAAAACTTGCCGTGAACAACACTACCCTTGACCTCACCCCAATATTCAATTCAAACATCGATTGCCACAGAAACAAGTCAAAGGGAAGCACAATTAACCAGACTGCAAGACTCTACCTAATTCTGGTGTGCCTTCTGGGTTTTGATTGGTCAATCATTTGCCTTCTACCTATTTTATTTGCTCTCAGGCCCCGCGGCCGTGCCACTGCCGTATTTTATGCAGGGCCCAGCTAGCACAGTCGGTAGAGCGTAAGGCGTAAGGCCCTTAAATCCGGCGATGCCTCGCTGTGCGCGTGTGTGTGCATGTAGCCTGCAGCTAGCTTTAGCTACCCGGGGGCGCGCCCCTCCCGCCGACCCCCCCAAAAAATCCTTCACTCTGGTGGTGTTTTCAAGTTTTTCGGGGTCCAGAATGGGAAAAAAAGGCGATAAAACTACAAGACGCTTTTTGGAGGTTCATGTTTGTCACTTTTTGGCGGATTTTTGCTCTTTTTTGGCGCTTGCCAAGAGCCAAAACATTGCAGTGCTTTTGTGCCTTTGGCATGGAAAAGTTCTTCTTGCATCTTCTTGCAACATGTAGAAAATTGCGTAAATACCAATGTTTTTGCTAGGCGCGGGCCACACAACATTGTAAATACCGTGATTTTTGCTACCAGAGGCAAACAAACATCGGGCCTCCGAAGCGCAAAAAACATCGGTATTTACGGTGTTTTTTGCTCCGAGAGTGTCAAAAGACGTAAAAGCACCACCTATGTGGCGATTTTTTGGGGCCAGAAAAATGCGAAAATAAGATGCGTTGCAACAACAACAACAACAACAACAGACAGAAGCACAAAATGCGACAAAAAAGTCTTTTACAAGCTGCGGTATGAAAAGCACATCATACTGTGCTCTGCACCTGCGCGCACGCGCCGAGCACATGAACAACACCAACGCTCACACTACTATACATAACCCTTATGGCATCGCCGGTGTGCGAAGCTCTACAATACAGTATTATGAATCATAGGCTTTGGGTTTCAAAGGGTTCAAGTAACATTTTTTGCAAAGTCACACCTACAATCACCTACAGTTGGACAAGGAATAACTTCTTCGGGAAGTCTGCATGTTTCTAGACTGCTTGTCTTCACACAACAATGCTCTTGTCACCGCTGTGACACTACTTTTGAACGTTCATGGTGTTGTCATGTCTTGTCCATAAATTGTCTCCCTGTGTCCTTCGCGGCAGCGGCAAAGAGAAGCGCTTCCGAGGGGCCCAGCAAGATCCAAGCACTGATGATCACAGTTCTTTCCAGGGTATCTACAGAACAGGACCAAAACAAATAGCTGAATGTCCGACTGAGGGCTTGATTTGCAGACACCAAAACTGTATTGCTTGATGATCTCAACCTTCCATTGTCTACCAGAATCATTTTCTGTGACAGACGGCGACATAGCTGGCAGCTCTGTGCCTCTGTGCTGGGGCTGGGAGGCTCCACCTCTGCTCCAGAAAAGTTTCACTCTCTTTCCGAACTCTTTCCTTCTTTGTCCTCTTTCTGGCTTCAAAACTTGCGTATACCAAGGACCCAAAAACAATCATAAACACATCTACATCATCTAGAAAATGTGGTAAAACTGAGATCAGCTCTTCCTCGTCTAGTGGAAAGTGCAAATGCACAAGCACAAATGACAAATGGCCATTGCCTTTGGAAAGGTTTCAACCTCAGGATCTGCCGCCTAGGACGCAGGAAAAAGCCATGTGACGTCATCCGCAGGCCGTTGAAAAAAGATAATCAAGATTCACATCGCGTGCACACCTCTGAACGGTTTCAACAGCTGTCAGGTTCTCAATTGTCCGGCCTCGCATTCATGGCAAGCATCGCAGGCCTCGCACTTGACGTCGTCTTCTTCGGGCACCACCTTCAGCACGTCTCAGCACAGGGCACTGTCAAGCGTATGACCACAGCAAGCTGTACTTTGAGAAGCGTGAGCAGTTCACGGAATGACCTCCCACCTTACGGGCGGTCACCATGAAAATACCGACATGATGCTGCAGGAACACGATGGGCTCAAGATCCTGTATTCATCTATACTCTACACTCTGGATAGGCTGTAGCACACCAGACCAGAAATATCCAGAAGCCTTGAAAAAGATGCCCACGCTCGGCTGCTATCATTTGCTCTCTCTCCATCTATTTTGCCACCACCCTATACTGCGTATCTGCTATTTAGACAACCTATGAAGCTTGCTGGGTAGCCCTGCAGCCAGGGGAGACTCGAGGGTCGCCATGCTCCTGCAGAGCAAAATCTGTGCGGGTCCTGTCTTTCTGTCTTCCTGTCGGTCAAGAACCATGCTAATGCGACACGGTGTATCACACAATCCAACACAAACACCACTCTGATATCACTCTCCCTGCCACTACTGCTACTACCCTGTGGTTCAGTGGCCCCGTACAGCAGGATCACCTCCTGGAGCGAACAGCTTCTCCAAGGCGCTCTGCCACAGTCTCCTGAGTGGATTATGACTCATGACAATGCGACCGAATTCCAAAAGGATGCCAAAGGCTTTGCCAAAGGCTTTGCCAAAGGCTTTGCCAAAGGCTTTGCCAAAGGCTTTGCCCCGGACTCGAAATGAATCATGCTTCTGGAAATTTCGGCCCTGAGAGATGCACCATCGATCCCCGCTGTCTTTCACGGCTCCTCTCCTTAGTGCATCGAAGGAATCAAAGGAATCGAAGAATCCAAGGTGGGCTGCTTGGAGAAGACATTGCTGCCCTTGATGATGTTGTTCCGACCGTTTCTCTGCTACTCTCTCTTGACTCCTGTCGGAATGCCTCGAGAAACCAGTGACTGAGTGGAGAAAGGGAACAAAATGGAAACAAAACAAGGAAGTGTCCGAAGTGTCCGAAGTGTCCGAAGTGTCCTGCTCTGCTCGTCATGTCGGACACCAGGATGTTGAGACTGTACTGCATAGATGCTACTGTACACCCGAGGTCAACACCCGTACGCTTTGGCGTCGTTGATGTCTGAGCCGAGGGGCTCCCAAGTGAAGGAGGGGTCCCCGTTTTCCATTTTTTTGGGGGTTTAACATCATAATGATCATAATGTACATTTGGAAACATGTTCACTTCACAGCGAGAAGATATTTCAAGCATTTGTTTTATCAATCCACCAACTTGGGGGCCCCAGATGGTTGCTGGGGTTGTGAAACTCACTTTCCAACTGGGGATTTATGGGATGTTCAATGAAAAGAATGGTTTTTGTGGTCATTCCACCTGACCAGCTTGGGCGAATCTTCTGCTGGAACATGGGAGTTTCCTGCTTCTGGTGGTTACTTAGAAATTTGATGTTCAATCTGTATAGTTAATGTCTACCATGACCACTATCAACCAATGTTCTAAGTCATTAAGGTGGATCTGGCTGTGGGATTTTTTTCAAACGGTCCCATTCCCCTGAAAATATATAAATACAACCCAAAAAATTGGATATCATGAGTTCTAGTGTGCGTAGTATTTTTTATCATTAGGGCGGGTTTTAAGTTGCAGTGAATGAATCCCCCAAGGGGCAAAACATGTAAAACTATTGGCCCCCTTAAAGGTATCGCCAATATTTTCCATTCAGGAAGGCCAATATGTTTTTCAATCAAAAGTATCGAAACAAGTGTAAGTAAAGTAAGTTACTATGCAGTAACCATGTTCCTTTTTTTCCCTCTTCCTTCCCTTTTCCCGCCTTTCCCTCTCTTCCTGTCCTTTTCGCTTCTTTCTCCTTGCTGTTTTCCCTTTTTTCCGCCATTATTTTCCTCTTTTTTTCTGTCAAAAACAGATTGCCCAATGATTACAGCTGCACACAATGGCGCGCAAGCAGGTAGAAGCCAAGGTAACAAGCTCAAATGACGGTCAAACAAGCTCAAGCGACGCCAAGTCAATTGTTCTAGAACAAACAACCTCAAAGGCAGCAGGATTCCTTTGGGCGTCTAAGGATTTCCTAGTGCTGAAGCGGTGCGCAAACAACGCTGAGACGCGCTCAAACGGGCCCAGACAATGCCAGCCCCAATGTGGCAGGCTAAGGACTTTTAAAAGTTGCTCTAACAAAGCCCAAGCCGAATCCAAGCCAAATAACTATCCGTTTTGAATATGAGCGACCAGAACATGGAAACCCATTTGATTTAATTGGGCTCCATGTCCCATCGCTCTTAATACCTTTCCAAAAAAAATGTCGGTTTCCAAGTGCAAGCTTCTATATGTTCGAGCAGCTTCAGCCTGCCACTCTCAAGATTTGGGGCGTTTCTAGAATATCCGGAATGCACTTGCACATCTGATAAAGTGAGTCTTGACCCCAAATCCTGATTCTTTTTGCTCTAGTTGTGCTTAGCACTGGCGGTGCCAAGCGCAACTAGGCTCTGCACGGCGCAGCTGGCAGCCGAAAAGAACCCAAAATGACCTCTAGTTGTGCTATGGAAGCCCTATATATACTGTATGTATATATATACAGTATAGTTTTGCTTAGCACTGGCGGCGCTAAGCGCAGCTAGGTCATTCTGCAGCAATTCAAAAGTCATATTTTACTTTTTGGCAGCTGAGACATTTATATCTTTTTGGGTATGGGAGCTTCAAAATCATCATTTTCAGCATCGCGAAGAATCGAAATCGGTTTTTTTGAAGATTTCGAAGCTGCCAGGAGCAAAAAGAGATATTACTTTTGAAGGGCGGAATCTCACTTGCGCCTGCCAAAGTATCTCACTTGCGCCTGCCAACATAGATTATGACCATCCAGACACCGCCTTTTCGGGTTTCACTTGGGGACAAGGGGACCTGGGACCTGGGGTGGGTTAGAGGGACATGAGGACCAGGTTCCTCTTCTTTCCCTGTATATACCATTACAACCTTTTAGGGTTTGACCTGACTCTATACCATTACAACTTTTTAGGGTTTGACTTGACCTGGGACCTGGGGTGGGTTAAAACTGCACGAATAGGCTTTGCGTACGCAAGCTGGTTTCTTCAACGCTTTCGGGCCCATGGCGCAAGCAAGGGACTAGAAGAAAATGCGATTAAGACCTGCGTCAGAAAGTTCTGATACTGTGCTGTATTGATATCAGTTTGCGATGACATCATGTGTGTGTGCTATGACATCATATATATATTTTTTAGATATGCCCTATTTCTCTCTGACTGCGCGCGCAATATGAATCTGGTGTTTTCGCACTGGTTAACGGAAGAAAAAGGTCACGCAGGCACAAGCGAGACAGAGACGCAGGCATACGCGAGGACTCTTCCACTTTTGAATTGCTGCAGAACGATCTAGTTGAGCTCAGCGCCGCCAATGCTAGTCACAACTAGGGCAGTAATGGATTGGGAAAAGAAGAGTCTCCCATGAACTTCAGATATCTTTAGCCGGCTTTTTTTTGAAGTCTTGCAACCCAATGCAACCCATCTCAATTCCTCTCATTCGCCTCTGCGACTGTGCCACCTCGAGTCCTGGCACTTGACCAGGTCCAACGACAGGCATGAATGATGACAAGAAAAACAAGAAGAACATGCCTGTAAATGTGAACTTACATAGATAACTGTTCAAATAAGCATTGTTGCATGGTCAGTTTGCTTGAATCTGCTTAACATTGTCATGACCGCAACTCGCAGAAAACGATCAAAGTGGGACCAAGATCATCTGAGCATGGTGGACTCTCCTGACATCAAGGCCTCGTTTTTTTGCCCCTGCCACACTGCGATTTCAGACCCCAATGGCAGCACACTTTTTCTCTTCAAAGATCATGCGATATTGCAGATATGCATGTTTGGAGGCGTAAGTGCACACAGACATACTGCAATACGCAATGCCATGTCTGCGCTTCATCCAAGTGGCTAGTGAGCCCTGATACCTAGACCTTCTAGAAATGGAAGCCACCAAACTTCCAGAAACATTGATGGAGATAGGCGATCTAGTTCAGTGGACCTCAATCGTCACCAAGTAGATGGAAATGTGCCTATTCCAGTTCGAACTTGCAACGTCACAATTTCATGATACAGCCCACCATATCCTGTATACTGCGATATCGGATATCCTATGATAGCCTTTGATCTCACCATCCCACCACCTTCGTTTGATCTTGTTGCTCCTGCCAGACAGGCACTGAGGGAGGATGAGTCTGTTGTACATTCGGAGGACGTCACAAGTAGCAAAAAAGGGCCAAAAGCTACAGGTCGGGCTAGCCAAGTTTTTCAGGTTTCAGAATCAATTTGGGCCTTTGCTTGGTCTATTGCTTGGTCTATACCGATGTAATTGCGATAGCTTAATGAGCTTCCAGGACTTGAATTGCTCAAGAACTATTTGATGGTGTTCAACCCTTTCCAGTGCTCTGCACCTCATATGATTGTTATTGCTGGAATTTGCTGGGGGTTCTCTTTAATGTTGCCTGTGCACAACCATATTGCATGTTCATACAACTGACTGTGGGTAGCAACCAACTGCACCAGGAACAAAGACACTGACAAGGATCAAGAAGCCGAGCAAATGGGTCGCAGGAAGGACAGAAAAGGGTCGGGATTTAGTGTTTTCATTTTGAGTTTTTCCATTTTTTACGGGTCTGGAGCTGCTGTCCTTGATTCTTCAATGGTTTTAGCCGATTCTTCTGCCTGGTGGCAAATTTGAAACTATATAATCTAAATGTAGTTGAATATCGGTCTAAATTCAATCTAACATCCATTTAGATTTCACTTGAAACAAATGTAAATTCAAATTGAAATTGAATTAAATCTAATTGAGAATTAAAGGTGATTCAGAAATTCATTTGAATTTGATCTCAAATAATTTTGATTTCATTTGAAATGTCTTTTAAGTTCAATGTTACATTAGTTTAGGTTTAATTTAGAATTATATACTTAAAATTGCGTTTGAAATGAATCATAAATTGATTCAAAATTACACTAACAAAAACTTGGGATTACTTAACATTTTAAGCTAAATCCAATTTGACATTAATCTAAATCTGATTTGAGGTGGATCGAAATTGGAAAAATAAATGTGGATTGATTTTTTTTTAGAATTAATTCAAAATTGATTTTAGTATTTAAGATCTATTTTCGATTTGAATCAAAATCAAGTTAAAGTTTATTTAAAATTGATCTAATTAATATAGGTTTAATGTCAAAATGATGTAGATTTTATTGTCTATAAATTTGTCTAAATGTGGTCTTAAAAACGATGTTGCTTCAAATTCAAAAAATATTTTAAGCTTAAATGAAACAGGTTCCAAATTGACCTTAGAAGATTTTATTTGGAATTGGTTTAAGATTTATCTTAAATATATATATATACATAAGAATTTAGTTTAAAATTGGTTGGGATCTAAGTTTAGATCAAAATTAATTCAGATTTAATCTAAAACGAATTCAGATTCAAAAATAAATCTGAACTTTCGTTTTACATGGTATATAAGTAAGAAACCTAAACCAAAAGCCAAAAAAAAATTACTTTACTTCGTGTGATCCCCACCATGACATTTATACATTTTCTTACTGGCAAATCTTCTGGCATTCTATCTGACATATCTTCTGACATTCTATTTGGCATTCTATCTGGCATATCTTCTGGCATATGATCTGGCATATCTTCTGGCATATCTTCTGGCATTCTATCTGGCAAATCTTCTGGGATTCTATCTGGCATATCTTCTGGCACTCTATCTGACATATCTTCTGGCATTCAATCTGGCATTCTATCTGGCATATCTTCTGGCAAATATTCTGACATATCTTCTGGCATTCTATCTGACATATCTTCTGGCATATATTCTGACATATCTTCTGGCATATCTTCTGGCATATCTTCTGGCATATCTATCTGGCATATCTTCTGGCATATTTTCTGGCATTCTATCTGGCAAATCTTCTGCCATTCTATCTGGCATTCTATCTGGCATATCTTCTGGCATATTTTCTGGCATTCTATCTGGCATATCTTCTGGCATATATTCTGACATATCTTCTGGCATTCTATCTGGCATTCTATCTGGCATTCTATTTTGCATTCTATCTGGCATATCTTCTGGCATATCTTCTGACATTCTTTCTGACATTCTTTCTAACTTTCTTCTGCACATTCTTTGTCCCATATCTTCCTACATGAGGTCCGGCAGGGAACACTTGGCGTGGATACTCGCGGTTGAGGTCCGGCAGGGAACACTGGGCGTGGATGGCCGTGGTTGAGGTCCAGCAGGGACCACTGGGCGTGGATGGCCGTGGTTGAGGTCCGGCAGGGAACACTGGGCGTGGATGGTCGTGGTTGAGGTCCGGCAGCGAACACTGTGGATCGCGAGTCGCAGTTGAGCAGGAGGACGAGGAGGACAACGAGACGAGGAGGACAACGAGAGGAGGAGGACAACGAGAGGAGGAGGACGACGAGAGGAGGAGGAGAGGAGGAGGAGGAGCAGGCAACTTAGATAAAATCTAACAACCCTCACCTGGCAGGTGGGGAAAAAACATTCATTCTACAAAAAAATCTCCCAAAGAAGTCCGACCGGAAAATGGCGTTTCTGTCCTTCTCTTTGTGTCGTGCAGCTGTCCGAGCAGACCTGACAATGTGTATTGTCCCTGGATGTTTTTGGATGAGTCACCAGGGAAAGAACTCTGACGCAAAGCTAATTTCATCCTACAAAATGGCTGAAAGTCTATTTCGCTAGCCCTCATCTTCATTCCGTTTGCAGCTCTGTCGCAGGCTCCATATTAGTCACAACTCTGTGTTGATTGGTCAGTTGAAACTGATTCATTTGGTGCTTCTGACCACTCGAAGAACATTGAAGAGCTCAACCTGCGGTCAATCTGTGTCCAGCACTTCTTCAGCATCCGTCGAAAGGAGGACACGGCTGGCACCTGAGCAAAACTTAACTGGACGTGCTTTCTGAGCACAGCACCGAATCAACGATGCGTCAATCATAATGACTCAGCGGAAAAAAAGCAACGGTTTGGTTAGAGCCCTGTGTTCCAAGCCATCAGAGTCAAGAGCCCCAAACAGTCCCACACCGAGAGCCACTGTGAGCGAGTCAAAGCCAGTCAGATCCTTTGAGCATCTTTGAGCCATCTCAGTGAGCCTCAAATCGTCAAAGTTTTTGAAAAAACTGAGTCGTCCAAACCAGTTTTTTGTTCTCTACAAAGCCCAAGAAGTCGAGACCAGCAGAAATGTGTTGCACCTGACAGAGACATGACACACAAGTTGGGGCAGCGCGCATTGTTCCGCATTTGACACTTCATTCGCAGGGAGTGTAGCCAAGAAGGTTAGATGTTCTGGGTTGCTTGGGTAGAAGTTCAATTCGCTCTGGCAGCGGCTCAACCGGAAACACCAATAGTGCCGCACAAGGCGGCGGCGGAAGTTTCAAAAATAGGAAACCTATAGGAGAGGTTCATTGTTGTGAATCACAAATGGCAGAGCGAATCCACTGATGGACCGAAAGGTGGTTGAAGTTGTGTTTTTTGAAGCGGTTGCAATGGTTGCAGTAGTCACCTCACCCGCAACTGCTGGATGTAGTGTGGTGTGGCGCAGTGTAGTTGTAGGTGTAGTGTGGTGTAGTGGAGTTGTAGAAGTAATGTGTAATAAGTGTAGCACAGTTGCAGTTGTAGTTGTAGGTGTGGTGTGGTGTGTGTAGTGTATTGTAGTGTACTGTAGTGTTGTGTACTGTAGTGGGGTATGGTGTAGTGTAGTAGCGTATTCTAGTGTAGTGTCGTGTTAAGGTAATGTAGTTGTAGTTGTAGTGTGGTGTAGTGTAATTAGTGTAGTGTCGTGCGGTGCAATTTAGTGGCAATTACAATTGTAGTTGCAGTTGTAGTTGTAGTTGTAGCGTAATGTAATGTAAATGTAATGTAAATGTAATGTAAATGTAATGTAAATGTAGTGTAAATGTAATGTAAATGTAATGTAAATGTAATGTAAATGTAATGTAAATGTAATGTAAATGTAATGTAACTGTAATGTAACTGTAATGTAACTGTAATGTAAATGTAATGTAAATGTAATGTAAATGTAATGTAAATGTAATGTAAATGTAATGTAAATGTAATGTACATGTAATGTACATGTAATGTACATGTAATGTAAATGTAATGCAAATGTAATGTAAATGTAATGTAAATGTAATGTAAATGTAATGTAAATGTTATGTAAATGTTATGTAAATGTTATGTAAATGTAATGTAAATGTAATGTAAATGTAATCCAAATGTAATGTAAATGTAATGTAAATGTAATGTAAATGTAATGCAAATGTAATGTAAATGTAATGTAAATGTAATGTAAATGTAATGTAAGTGTAATGCAAATGTAATGTAAATGTAATGTAAATGTAATGTAAATGTCATGTAAATGTAATGTAAATGTAATGTAGTGTAGTGCAAATGTAATGTAAATGTAATGTAAATGTAATGTAGTGTAGTGCAAATGTAATGTAAATGTAATGTAGTGTAGTGCAAATGTAATGTAAATGTAATGTAAATGTAATGTAAATGTAATGTAAATGTAATGTAAGTGTAATGCAAATGTAATGTAAATGTAATGTAAATGTAATGTAAATGTAATGTAAATGTAATGTAAATGTAATGTAGTGTAGTGCAAATGTAATGTAAATGTAATGTAAATGTAATGTAAATGTAATGTAAATGTAATGTAAATGTAATGTAGTGTAGCGTAATGCAATGTAATGTAAATGTAATGTAATGTAATGAGTGTAGTGCAGTGCAGTGTAGTGTAGTGTAGTGTAGCGTAGTGTAGTGTAGTGTAATGTAGTGTAGTTGTAGTTGCATTCGTATTTGTAGTTTTAGTGTGCTGCAGTGCAATTAGTGCAGTGTGGTGGAATGTGGTGTAGTTGATATTGTTGTTGTTGCTGTGGTAATAGTAGCTGTTGTTGTTGTAGCTGCAGTGTAATTAGCGTGGTGTAGCGTAATTAGATGTAATTAGTGTAGTGTAGCGTCGCGTAGTGTAGTGTAGTGCAATGTAACGTATATAATTTATTTGCATTTGTAGTTGTAGTAGTGGTGTAGTGCAGTGGTAGTTGTAATTGTAGTTGTCTATCTATCTGTCTGTCTATCTGCAATCTGCAAGCTTGAAAACGAAGCAATTCTGCGAGACTTCCTCCACTTTTGAACTTGATAACGCCAAAAAGGAAGCAATTCTGCGAGACATCCTCAATTGTTGCAGTTGGCACCATCAAAAACGAAGCAGTTCTGCGAGACTTCCTTCAATAATGGAAAGTTGAATGCAGAGCTGACGGCCTCGTACCAATGCGTCTTGCGATTTTTCAAGTCCATGTCTCTGAAGTATTGCGCCTGCCGCTAAAAAGTGATGCCAGGTCATACAAAATGCTGCACCTGTCACACAAAATCTTCTTTCCAAAACTGAAGTCTGATGCTCCAAAATGCAGCCCATCTCAGGAAATCAGCACACTGATCTCCTAACATATTTGATGAACATGACTCTTGTACTGCGCCTGCCACGGAAAATGCATCTTTCCAGATCCTCTTCAAGTGTCCGACGCCTGCCATCGTTTTTGGAAATGCTAGAAAACCCACACGTTTTTCTCGCTTCTGACAATGTGCACAATCCCTGGCGCCGGCCACGCGGAACAACATCTGAACGTCCAAAAGTGCTCCGTACCCGTCAGTTTTTTGCACTTTTGACTTGGAAACGTGCTTCGCGCCACAACGGCGTGCACTTTTTCGACATCTCAACTTCCAAGAGTGCTCCGAAGCTGAAGTGCTTTGCACATTTTGACTTGGAAGCGCGCTTCGCGCAAAAACAACGGCGTGCACTTTTTCGACATCACAACTTCCAAAAAGACTCCGACCCTGGTGTGTTTTGTGAAATTGTGACTTGGAAACGTGCTGCGCGCCACAACGGCGTGCGCTTTTTCGACATCTCAACTTCCAAAAGTGAGTCCGAGCATGGTGTGCTTTGTACATTTTGACTTGGAAATGTGCTTCGTGCCACAACGGCGTGCAATTTTTCTTCTCTCATTTGGCCACATGGCTCCGTACCCGCCGCTTTAGCGAGCCTACTTTTCGACCCTCCGGAGCCACAAATCATTGGAAAACGCAGTGAATCGCCTCTTTTCTACCTTTTCGCGCACCTGCATCTTCTTTCTTCTCACTCTTTCTCTTCTCTGATCTTCTCTCTTCTGCTCTTCTCCTCTCTGACTGTTCCCACCTCTGCTTTTCCATCTCTCCATATTGTCGGAAGTTTGACTTCTAAACTTCCTTCGATTACTGTTAGAGGAACCACAAGAGGCAGAGAGAAACTGTTGCTTTGTTTTCTCAATCAGTGAAGCCAGGAACAAATCATAAACCAGAAGTTGCGCCCTTATAGATCCATGATAAATGATAAAATGTCCAGTATCTTCAAAGACTGCAAATCGTTGTTTGATGTGTTTCGATGTGTTTCGATGTTAAACGGGTGCAGCAAAATGGTGCAACTCGTAGCCTTCTGCTCGTCCCATGTCTCGGAAGCCACCGAAGCAGCACGGTCACCTGCACAAAATGCACACTTTGCAAACTCAGTGGACGAAAACGGTCCACAGCACAGTCGAGACCGGTTGACCAAATGAACAGATATGGACACTCCTACCAGCCATGTTGGACCAATCATTGGAATCACTTGGTGTCGTTTGGGTCTTACTGAATATCCTTGCAATAGACTGACTCTACTTTTACTTTCTTTAATGCCCCTATTACCTCCCCACGACACCACGTCTATCTAGGAAATCCTCCAAGGTGCATGCAGTGACTCCAACGAACAAATCGGGAGCATCACCAGCTTGTTTCCATTTTGACAGAAGATGCTTAGTGACATGAATAAGTGGTGACTGTTTCGGAATGTTTCGGTCATGTCAGCACACACAGCTCAGTAGCTCAATAGCTTTCCCACTGACTTACACTTCTCCTGCTTATCTTGATCGTTTTACGTCTAGCTTGGACACCCACTTTCTGCATTCTGCATGCACCTGGCTCGTCGTCTACCGCCATGTCCTAGCAGAAGCATGACTGCCCGCAACAAGTTTCAGTTGTGGCAGTTTCTATCAGTTTCTTTCACCAACTCCGTGCTATTTCGTGCTCACCCTGGGAAGCTGCTTGAGGCTATATCCCATGATGAATTATCTCGCTTGAGATGGGAAAGCTTTGCGACTTTCTTAGTTGTGGCAGCTGTCCGAAGGTTATGCGCAGAGGTTGGTCACGGGCACTTCCACACAAGTTGACCGAATGAGAAATCCAAGTTTGCTCGAAATCCAATACATTACAATACCCTCATGCAAGGTATTGTACTAGATGCACTGTAGCGACTGTACCCCAATAGGGCTCATCTCATTCCTTTCCAGCAAAAACAGCCACCAGTAACCCTGCCGGCACAACTCAAAGCGAGCCCAGCGCGGCATAAAACTCGACAGCGGACGTTTGCTGCCGCAAAGGATAAGGCCCTGAAGCAGGAAGTGGCCATTCTACTGCTTTTCTGCCCTCCGAATTGCTCAATTCTCTTGACATGGCAAGAAACGGAATGTAACAGATCCATGTTCCCACGCCTCCATGCAGTGTCTGTTCGGAGGCGGAGCATCTCCCAGTAAGGCTCGGCTCCTGTAAACACTTGGATTTAAGAGAAATACGCTACATATTATATATATATATATATTTATATTTATTTATATGTCCCTTGAACAGAGTGTGCACTTTAACAACTCTAACTATGCCTACTATACGCTTCGGATATCTGACATGATGATGTTCCTTCTAGTGCTCCCGAGAAGTACTCACCCCGGCCTCCGATGCCTGGCTGCCTTGCCTCGCAGAGTCGAATGATGAAAACAGGAAACAAAACTCAAAGCATGTCAAAACTGATCTTTGTGTTTTGAGTATTGAGATGGTTTAATTCAAGAATTTAAAATAAAATCAAACAAGAAACAAGTCTGTGACGACGTCTTATTTAAAGCTTTGATGCGAGATTTTGATGAGGCTTATACTCCAGTCAGTGAGGACAGTTTTTATCTTCTCCATCCAAAGCAAAAGACGACAAACTCGGCAAATCATTGAAGTCTCGGCCTCGACGCGTCTGCTGAAGTGGGCTCTGGCAATGGGGACGTCCTCACAGCTGCAGTTGGAATCAGCAACTGCAAACGTTTCAGTAAGCCTCACAGCCTGCCCATTCAAGTCTTGGATAAGAAAATGTGTGTAGAAAGCAGTCACACTCATTTACGCCGCTTTGACACATGTACGCTACATGTACGCAATAACAGAAGCTGAGATTGTGTCCTTTGACTCATCTTGACTCATCGCAGGTCTTGGGAACCATGTGAACAGCGCCCAGCTGTGGGCCGGACTCCCACAGCCATCGGTATATAGAGTTGGCAATGGACCACTCACGAAGAAATACAATCGTGAGAAGAAGAGAAGTAGCTGAGAAGTAGATTGTAGTCTTGTACTATGTTGTATGTCGTGTATTTCTTGTGGTTTCAAAACAGTACACCGGTAGGCAGGCTACTCTATGACTCAAGATGTTTTGTCAATAGAAAGAGCGCTTGTGATATCTCAAGTTGTTTGGTTCAAGGGAAGTGTTGAAAGAAAATGCAATGGGCTGTCATCTTCATCACTGGATATATCCCGTGTGAGTTGACCCTTGGCGCTCTTTGAGACTTCAGCACCAGCTGCAGCAGGGTAGTTACAGGACAACTGCATGGCCGGCCAATCGCAGCAGTCATGAAACCTTCATTCTTTGTGCAGAGCTTTGCCCCACACCCGCGACACATTGGACTTGCCCAAGGAGAAAAGTACACTTGGGGTTGCCACATTTTCCACTGCAAACGCTGCAAAGGTTGGTATGTCCAGCATTGGAAGCAACACGAAGCAAGACTATCCTCTTTTGTAATGTGGCAGCTGCCAGCAGTGCTGCAAGCCATGAATAATAGAAGTTAGAAGCACTTTACCTTCTTGGCCTCATCTTTCATTTCTGAGTTAAGACTAGTTTGTGGTATGGGCACAAGTGCAACATGCATTGAAATCTCTCTGCGGTGCCAATGTGTGAATTTGTAGTGGCTTTGGAAGATCTAAGCCTCCCGGTTGACTTCCAAATGCTGCGGACAGTCTGGCTCTGCCAGACACTATCACTATGAACAAGACATCACACAATGATGTCTAAGTCAGGAGACCTAAAGCGGGAAGCTAGCTATAATTTCAGGTGTATAAGAGTTAGAGTAGATTTGAAAAAATGCCACAGCATGTTGCAGCAATGTGCGAAATGTTTGACAAGAGTGTTCTATGATTTATATAGTGTAATTTAGTGAAGCTCAACCAGTAGCTGCGACTAATTTGCTCATGCATCTGGGTTCGGATTTTCATCCTAGCACTAGCTGACGTAAGAGAGCCGCCTTATCAGGCATACCTTGAACAAGCTAAAATTATTGAAGTATATGACTGCTTTAAGGAGTCTCTCACCTGTCGCCTCCCTGTTGGGGTGCAACTAAGCAAAGATAAGCAGAGACTCAAACGAACTCAATGTCGAACTGCCTGTAGTGGTATGGTTCAGGAGCACCACCATGCACATCAGCAGCACAACGAAAGCCAAGGGTGCCAGCTCGTTCGTAGCTGTTGCCTTTGGCTTCTGAAAGGCAGCAATTCAAGATGTACGGCCAGCAAAACCGGGCTGTGAAAAACCATTTCAAAAGCCGTCGCCATCTTGAATTAAGTTGAAGTTCAGTGTGTCTTGAGTATCTGCACAGTCTTGATACCTGCAGTAATCTATCCAATAGTCTGATAGTGCTCGAATGACCGGCATTGGATGCAGTCTGAAGCTGAAGTCTGCTTTTGTTGGCAAAAGAGACCAATCGATACTGGACTAAGTCTTTGGGTGAACATTGGCTACCACATGATCCAAGTATTCTGCATGAGAAACTAAAGGTGAGCGCACTAATTCCTGGCGAACTCCAAACAAATTTATCCTCTGCCATGGGGTCAGCATGCAAGGCTCCAGGGTGCCCCCTGCCATAAGTCGAAGTGACTCATCAAGAAATACTTGGAATGTTTGTTCAGCTCCCTGGCTGGCGGAAAATACCTCAAGTCCACACACTTCGTGGCTGCAGAAGGCTGCGCGAAAAGGAGAACAGAAACCCTTTTTGCCTTTTTGTGGCAAGTTGGAGCATGCAATACTAAAAAATGGGAAAAACAGGTCTGCAATGAAACTCACGTGAGCATAAGTGTCAAGGAGAGTCTCCTTCCAAGAATTATATGCAATTCGCGCAACATCTTCTAAAAGTCAACAGAGCCTCACACATTCATCCACACACAAGTCTGGAAACCGGTATCGGTATATTGCTTGATGCTTAGGAAACCTGGCAATCAACCCACAACAATCCCTTCGCTGTTCGACCCAGAAAGACTTAGCTGCAGAGCAGCAGTCTTCAGCTGAGCCATGAAAAATAAGTCTATCAGATTCTATCAGTCTATCTGAAGAGTCTATCTGAGTCTATCTCATTTTCCCATCCCATACTGAATATACTGGTTGAAAGATATTCCTTGTATGGGTTGTGACAATCCCTATCAAATGCAGGGGTATCAGCCACTCTAATAGCCAACCAACAACTCTCCAACCCACAGAATGTGTCCAGATCAATTCCATGTCACAGAACATGAACACACTGACTTTCTCAAAGCTCTTCCACATTAAAGCCGTTCCTAGCAGTGCCAGGTGGCCAATTCAACGATTGAGCTCTGGAGGGGAACTTCTCAGACACCTTTGGCTGGTAGCGGCTGCTTCCTCGCAGCAATACGGATCTGGTGTGCTCGTCACGAAAGGAGTCGGTATATTGCCACCTCACTTGCGCTCATAATGCAGAAAGGCGGCTGGCACAAGACTCATGCTTCGTCATATCTTGTCATACCTTGTCTTACTTTGTCAATTCTCAACTGTCTAACGCGTTGTGTATGGTCACTATCGCTGTAGTGGGGACACTTTCCAAAAGGAATCCAGGGCAATTCTTAAAGTTTGCGAGGCAATTGGATGAGCAGCCAACGGACAGCCACACTGAGTCAATTGCACTCATTTCAGATTCCGCTATGCCACTATGCACTCATAATCACTCATATGGCAAACCATTGCAAACTATTGCAAACCCAGCCACACGTTTCCCACCATGTCACGAAGGCCAAAAGGGGAATTCCCTCTCGGATGCTCACCAATCCTCACTGCATCGTGGCCTCATTCTGCGCACAATGCCGCCCAAATATGCCGATATTCACAAAATACTAAGTGCGTCTTCTTCATCTTCATTCCTTCGAACCAAACAGAAGCAACCCGTACGTGAAGCAGTCAAGACTAAAGGTGAAGATTGGGGAGTTGCAAGTCCCAAGTGCAGAAGGGGGGGGTCGTCGTAACATTTCGTAAAGGTACCTTCAAGGATGTCGTGTGAGAGTTCGGTTTTCTCATCATCAGTAGTGTTTGCTCAGTTTCCTCCTGCGCTGTCATAGATGGCATGGTTCGGGTCTTGGTGGACTTGGTGGGCAAGACTTTAGAGCTTAAGCTCGTTGCTCCTGCAAGGCGTCGACTTAACACACATTACTCCCCTACACGCACATCTTGTGTGGATTTGTGTGGCAGGCACTGTGGAAATCCCACGGCACATCAGTGCAGTCAGAATGCACTGTCTTCCTTGAAGTTACCAGCGAGGTTGGCAAAACACTGTGCACGGGCACATGAATAAGTTTACAAGAGCGAGCGCACCATCAGGCAGCAAAAAGAAGCGAGGCCAAAACCAGGCCAAAACGAGACCCAAAAACATACCAACCCCGGCAAGGCCCCACCAGACCTCAATACAAGGCAGAGGCGGAAGAAGAAGAAGGAAGACCGGGAAGACCCCACACCGAAAGAAGCAGGTGAACTATGGAACTAGGTCAATCCTGGAAAAAGCTAGTGGGCGCCATGGTAAAATGGCCAAATCCAAAATGTAGTAATTACAAGTAGCGAATCACAGGGTGCAAGCAAAAAAAAGTAAAAACATGTAAAAAAAAAATGTGTTTTGCATGGGTGGCACTCTATATGCACTTTCAACAAGAAGATCCGACTTGAGTCAAGACTCCTGTACAGTAGTTGATGAACCATGTGAGCCTTCCTCCCTATCTTGATGTCAAATTGTCTAGTACGTGGTGTATGGACACGGCGCTGTCGTGTTAGCTTGTACACTGCACAGGATGATTAAGATCTTGGTCCACTCGTTCGTACTCATGGTCTGGTTTCATAGGTACGAGATGTTTGAAAATGTCATGGGGCAAGCACCCCCGTCACGGAGTAAAACTGGGCAACTGTGTAAGTATGCATTTAGGAACTATTATATGGAACTATCATGGTCGTCGCAGGCATTGAAACACCCTGAAAGGGGCTTATACTTCCCTTTGCAGTTCATGGTTCATGGCAAGGTGGACCATGACTGTACGGACCACCTATCAAAGCCTTGGATCAAAGTAATAGCAGTCCACGGGCAAATACATCGGAACCGAAAAAAGAACTGCATAGGTGTGTATGTCGCCGTCCAAAATTCCATGCTCTGAATTGTGGTGCGAAAGCAATCAGAAATAGTTGTTTAAAGACCAGAGCAATATGATAAGAAGGCTCTGTCATGAAGTAGAACTCATGTGTTTGAGTCCGAATATCCATCGTTGATTTCTGTCCTTTCCAATTTGGAGATGGACTCAATACAATGGATGGCACCATCACCAGAAGCAAGACAAGGCACCTGGCCCCGGTGTGCTATCCATCACATCCGTATGGCCCCAAGGATACAGGCGACCATCAGAACCCTGAGCAGCATATTGCCACTCATAGCCTCAGAAACCAGCTGGCAGTTTTTTCCAGGTGGCATTTGAATAGTTCGCGTCTACAACCGCGAGCCCGGTGCACAGTACATTTTGACCGTGCCATCGGAAGGCAAGCCTAGATTTTCAGAGTCCCCACTAGTGTTTGTGGTGCGTGTTGCCGGAAAGCCTTGGAGCAGACTAGAACTTGCTGGATACTGGGGACGGGCACAACACTACTGAGATACTTGGACACCGAAAAAATGTTCCACCCTGTTTGGGGTTGGTGGAGCATCTACAGGGTCTGCTCTCCAAGACTCAAATACCAAGAACAGCTTTCCGCTTGTGCCACTTGTAAATGTTCCTTTCTTGATAGATAAAGAAGTAGATTTGTGACACAGCTTACAGGCAACTTCTATAAAACAATAGAAAAATAAAATGAACTAAGAAAAAGCAAAACCAAATCAAAAAAAACCATCCAAACCTCAATTGGAAAAAAATAAAAAGCAAAACCCAATCCAAACCTAAATTAGAAAAAACAAAAACAAAAAAGCAAAACCAAAAGCAAAAAAAAAGCAAACTATTTGTTTTTTCCGTTGTTTTTTTCGTGTTTTCCACTTTTTTTCGTGTTTTTTTTCGCTTTGTTTTCGTTTTTTTTCGCAGATTTTTCGCTTTTTTCTACGAGTTGTTTACATGTTCGAAGGTCCCGGACATCAGGTCACCTGAGAAAGAAAAACAGTAAAAAACAAACGAAAAAAAAACGAAATCAAAAAGCGAAACAAAGTGCGAAAAAAGACCGAGCAAAAAAGCAAAAAAAAAAGCAACCGCATATAAATGTATATCCGGTTTGTTTGTTTTTGCTTTGTTTCTGCTTTTTCAAAATAGTTGTTTGGTTTTTTTTGCTTTTGTTTTTTCTTTTTTCAAAAAGTGGTTTGCTTTTTTGCATTGGTTTTCGTTTTTTATTTTGTTTATTCCTTAAAAGTAGGCTTAAGGCATTTCACAAAAGTAGATATGTTTTTGGCCAATATCAGGAAGTCTGTACAAGTTCAGCAAGATGTGTTGCAGCATCTGGGTAAAAAATTGTAATTCTACGAACGACTTTATGGCTTGCATCAAAGACACTGTGCGGCAAACGCTTGCCATAGAAGTTGCAGAATGCCCGTGCTTCCTCCACAAAACTTTAAGCAGCTTAAGGCAGATTTCGTGATATTTCATGGCACTGCAAAGCGACCATTCTTACTGGCAATTCATCTAGTGGAAAACCAGCCAATGCTTTTGGACAGGAGTTGCCTATCAGCCACAACCCTTTGTATGTTGTACTCCCTTGACGCGCCGCGCTTCCCTTTAACCCAACCTCCAGGCCCAGGTTGACCACAGGCTTGAGCTCATCGCCTGCGTCGCTGAGCCCATTGCTGTTTTCTTTGAAGGACTTTTAGTCAAAAATCGCAATCATAGTAGCACACCCACAGTATCACACATTCGTCCGTTTCAAATCTGCCGTCTTGCGTGACCAAGATGGGAAACTTTTCTTCAGAGGGCTCTGACTACTCTCAGGCCTTCCTATTGGACCAACTCGAAGCTTTGGAAGCGTACCAGCTTACCCGCCTGGCTTTGGGCGCCCGTTTTTCCAATGCTTCAAGAAGTTGAATCCATCCGAAGGTTGATAACCTGATTGCGCTCAAGCCACGTAGTGTCTCAGTCCATGCCGACTCAGATGTGGCAAATCTGGACTGGAAATTGCAAGTTGTGTCGAGTCATGACGCGTCATCATGCATCGTCTGGAGTAACTTCAGTCCGTATCCTTCGAATGTACTTTCCTCTGCCCTTGCGCCAACTACATGCACTCAGCCAAGTCACTGCTTTCGTTGAGGTACTTCAAGAAGTCTTGATTGGTGACCTTGCTATGTTCATCTTGGCACATAACGACCCTTGACTTGAGTCGCGACAGAGGTGCCGCAACTCAAGCCCTTTGCCTTGTCAGAGGACAATCCCAAGGGCAGAAATCTTCAAAATTCAAATCCCCCTGAAAGCGACAGACGCAATCCGCATAATAAACTACGAAAGGAAAGGACCTTTCCATTCAATCCCTTTTGTCCAGCATCCCCTGCCCATTAATCAACCCAACATCAAATTCGGACAGAGTGTGCGCTGCGCACTAGGTTGCAATTGGTGGACTGTCGCCCAACTACACACTCCGAAGTATCGCAAGCCCACCATCTTCAGCAACTTCAGCAAGGTGCCAGGTCTTGATCCATCAACAAAGGTCCCAAATCCAAGATCTTCACATGATTCCGCCTTGGCAATGTGTCTGGTGCAAGGTACTTGAAAGCACTAATGGATATCTAAACCCCATGGCAGGTTAATGATCTGCGATTGCACATCAAACCTCATCAGCATCACAATCAACGTATAAAGTTCAGAGCGTGCGGCAAAACTTGCTCAGCAATGCAGAATATTGTTTTGTGTTGTTTTGTGTTGTTTTTTTAAAATCAGTGTTGATCGGTTGGTAAACCAATCGGTACACCTCGAACACGTCGAACACCTCGCAAATTCAGATGCCTCCCTGTAGCTCTCGCTAAAGGATACTGAGGCAGTTGCTGTGGCTGGCTCTCCCAAGGAAACTGCACATCCACTCCTACCCGCAGCAACAGGTGCCAAGAGGACATCGGGGTGTCAGTCGCATCAAGGCATCAAGGTGCAAGGAAGTTCAAGGTCAAAAACACTTCTTTCTTGCGAGATAAGAAAGGAACTGCCACTAACACTGCTCCCAGCACTTTTGAGGAGAAAATAAGATGCAGCTGATGTCGCCATGCAAACATCTGCAAAACAAGGACATGTCTATCATTGGAATTGCTGCTTTTTGTAAAGGAGTTGTATAAAAAACGTATCTTTTTTAATGACCCGAAATCATGTTACAGTTTTTTTTACTCTTATCGTTTTCTCAGGTGGTGAGCTCCCTGTAGACAATAAGTGTGAATTTTCCATCTTTCTGTGGGTGAGAGCATCCTTGGTCGAGAGTCATTAGATGTCATCTTTTGTTTTCATGTCCTTTCATTTTGCATTCATTTCCTTTCATTTTGCTTTCATGTCCTTTCATGTTCCGTCGCTATGTATCAAAGACACAGGTCTTCGAAAGCTGATATGCTCAAACCGGTCAGGTGGGTATCCGCCCAAACGCTCGCGTTTTTTGAATATGTTGTTATCGTTTTTGCTATCGTTTAGCTATCGTTTTGGAAGCCTGTGCAGGTTGCCATCTTCAGGCTTCATGAACATGTACATGTATAAGCTCGTTATCTTTTTTTTACTCTTATCGTTTTCTGGGCCAGCAATGCATTGGCAGTGTTAAGGTGCAAGCCAAGCTAAAATGAAATACCCGGGGTTATTATACTGTCCGTTTCAGCCTTAAACCCACAACTTATCAACGCTTTGGGTGCTACCGGGTTCCCGGTATTTCCCAGTTCCCAGCACCGAGCTCCAAAATATTCGTCACCCACAATGGCACATTGACAATCTGGCGAGCCATCCACAGTGCAAAGCTTGCTCCGGCAACCTGGAAAAGTGGCTGACCCAGCTGGTGAATTTCTACATGACACCCTAAAGCCTTCGAACCCAGCCCCCAGGCTCTGCTAGATCTCGGGATATCCGGGGATCCAGACAAATACCGTTGGGATCATCCTCAGGAGCACAGCCACCCTCCAAGGCCGTTCCACTGACAGAGAAGTTGAACCGAGCTCTTGGTAGCCTTGGATGTTGTGATCCAGAGCCGATATCCTGCAAGTCAACCAGTGTGGCATCAAGTCATTAAAGTGAACATGTAGAAGGTTACTTCCATAGTATGACCTATTGCCTATTGCATAGAATCTAGAAAGGATCATCAGTTTGGAAGAAACACACGAAATTGCCACAGAATCCTGGGCTTCCAGACATTTGTTAGAAGTTTCTGAAGCATGACGGCCCTTTCTGTTTAGTACGGCCTTGTCTGTTTAGTACGGCCTTGTCAGACAAGTTACCACAGTATAGTACTGTGTTTTGACCTAAACACCTTAGTTTGACCCACCTTTGCTCAACCTTGCCGTATCTAAATACAAAGTCCGCACAACGCACAACGGAACCTGCCAGCCACGTTTGTTGGATCACAGAAAAGGCGCATCTCGTTTTTTCACTCTAGTTGACTCTGGGGCAGCAGTCAACATATTTTGCGAAGCTAATCATCATTTCAAGATCATGAACTGCCAGGAATTGATATTGTCCACCTGACCTCTACATATTCAACCTTGCAGCCATGAAAGCAAGCACATCTGCTTTGCATCTCCACTGACAAACTGCCAGGGCTTTATGCAAGACCTTTGCACACCACGTGGCAATATCATGCCATTTGGCGGCTTCGCGGAGTCAAAGAGTGTGGATGAATGCCTTGGATCTGCAAACCCGCTACAGAAAGCAGTCACAGGTGGGAACATAAGTGGAAACATAAGTGGAACATATTAATATCCGCAAATCCCACCTGCCCTACTTCCCTCCGACCCACCTGCCACCCTCGCTTCGTCCTAGCAAATCCCTGCGCTGCTCCAACGCTTTCTGTTGTCAGAAATTCCAAATCTTCTGCTAGGCTGCTAGGCTGTGCCCACACTACGTAATCATTTCGGTCTGAGATCCCAGTTGTACTATGTAGCAATGTTGTTCTCATGATTGTTCTTTTCAGGGTGTAAGCTGAGTATGTATAACAGGAGCTAAAAGTTGCCAAGCTGCAAAAAACAAATGCTTCACTATGCAAGGCGACATTCTTAATGCAAAAAACAGAAACCAAGACTCAAAACACCCTGGAGCACAACAGAAGTGCAGATGAGATGCATGGCGTCCATCTTTTGATGCAAAACATGCCAGGTAGAAGACAAGCTTGCCTAATGAGTCATGCCACGAGTCATGCCATGGGTCATGCCATCTGTCACGTCTCTTGATGTCTGCGTTGTCTGTGGTGTCTGCGGTGTCTGCGGTGCCTTGTGCCCTGGGAGTCTCTCGAAACATTCCTGGCATCAAAGGCCCATTGGGCTGTGGGCCGAGGAACCAGAGAGCGCCTCGTCATTGTCCGCATCTCTTGAAGGAGGTTGTTCCTTCGTGAAGGTTGGAGGCATAACCAGGCATTCTACCATGGGAACCAAATGATACGCGCAAAACAGTGCAGAATCGTGCAAACAAACACTTGATAGGAGATGATCGTAATATTTACATCTTGCTCAGTGAAATGGCCCAAATATAGGGAAGTTTGTCCAAGATAGTTCTCTGCCCGTGTTGTTGGGATGGTTTTGAATTGGCGACCTTTTTTCTTAGAGCTGATTTCTCTCAGTTGGGAGTTGGGAAGAAACGTTTCTGGAGGGCCCAGTTACTCATCTTTCATACCCTTTCCCAACAAAAGGCTTTCTTTCTACGCGCCCAAAGGTTACAGAATCCACTCCTTTGCTACACTTTGTACGTATTAACAAGCCAACACCCGAAGCATGTTTGAAGAGTCCAAGAGGATAGCCAACGAACCACCCAAGTACTGAACTGTGCAATTGTTGCTATGGTATTGAATAGAGTCAAGGACCTTCCGGAGGTATTTCTGCAGATCACAAAATGCACCTATACAGGGGTTCATTTTTTGCAGATTTCTTATTGCTTTTTGCGCATCTTGCTTTTCAGTCTGGGGCAACTTTGCTTGCAATTCGCTGCATTTTGGAGCTAGAATCTCTCATTTGAACATTATTCGCAGCATTTTGGAGCTAAAATCGCGAATTTAGACGGTATTTGCGGCCTTTTGGACCTTGAATCTGTTTGTAGAATGTTCGATGTACTTTGCACTCTACGATTTGCAGCGTTTTGGACTAAGCTCTCTGATTTACGTGGCAGTTTCAGCGTCTTGGAGCCAACATCTGCAATTTGCATGTGTAGCACTTGCATGTATTTGCAACATTTTGGACAAAGAAAGCAATAAGTAGAGATAAAGAAAGGAAAGAACGAAGGAAAACATCAACAAGAATAAAAGAATATGATCCAATGATAACATATTCGAAGACTCAAAGGTCTTCTCACTGATTGCCCATCTTTTCAAAAGGAATATATAAAACTTATAAAACACTCCTTCCTACAGTTTTGCATTTACCAACCACGGCTTTCAAAAAATAGGTCGGTTCTACAAATCCACTGGGGACACAAAGAAAAAAAAAGCAACAAGAAAGGAAAGGACTTTCAGAAAAGATAGGAAAGCAAAGGAAAGCAGAGGAAAATCAAAAAGAAAACAAGTAAAGAGATTTAAAGAGATTTAAAGAGATTGGGAAAAGAAGAAGGAAAGGAAGGAAAGCAAAACAAGAAACCCCAAAAAAGGAAAGTAAAAAAGAAATAAAATGAAGGAAATGAAAAAAGTAAAGAATGAACGAAATGATAACATATTATTGTCTCAAGACTTGGAGGTCCAGTCACTCTTCCCCTATGAGCCTCAGCAAAGGAAAATGATTATAAAGATCAGATGACCTAAATTCCTTGCTTAGATTCCCGACGTTTTGTTTAAAGTTTAAAGGTGTTCCTGGATAAACTGCCCAGCGATTGTTTGGGGGTATGCACTTATCACGATCCAACTTTATGTTGCGTGTAAGTCCAAATCTTTAATAACCGTTTCAGAGGAACAACTTGACGAAAGCTGCGCGAATTTTCTCCACCCAAGCGCCAACTATACTCAGACATGTTGCAGGTCAAGTGTAATCTGCTTGGTGACTAGCAAAGCGGACACTCCACCAGCTTCGATCTGAAGCTGTGCACTTTTGCCGCCTAGCTCATGGTTTCCCCGGCGGAAAGTTCTGCTTGACAATTCAAAGGACTGTAATACAATTCACTTGTTTCTAATATGTTTTCCATGTATTTCTTCATTTCTATCTTGCGTAATGCAACTCCCCATATTCACTCACACAGGTTCACCACATATGTCCCCAATTTGAGCAGCACAACTGCTTCGGATTTAAATGATTCTAAGGCCATGACTCCGACCACTCTGACCACACCCCTTGCACCTGCCTCCAGACTCAGAGGGCTCCACCTAGACTGTGACACGTTTCGGTAGAGGGGTTCGGATGGTTGGCGCAGCTGCAACTTAGACCCAAGGTGCTGCAGTTTTAGTGAAAATTTGGCGACTGTCTTCCCATATCCGCAACCAGCCATGGGAAAAGTACAGTTGGGTATCTATGTATGTATAAACATGTGTGTGTGTTATGTATATGTATGTATACATAAATATATATATATGTGTGTATATATGTAAAACAAGAAATATATATGTAGATACACGTGCATATATACATATATATATATATATACATGTGTCGATAAACATGCATATACATATATATACATATATATATATACATATATACATATATGTGTATATGCATATACATATATATATATATGTGTATATGCATACATATGTATGTATGTATGTATGCATCCATGCATGTATGCATGTATGCATGTATGCATGTATGCATGTACGCATGTATGTGTATGCATGTATGTGTACGCATGTATGTGTATGCATGTATGTGTATGCATGTATGTGTATGCATGTATGTGTATGCATGTATGTGTATGCATGTATGTGTGTATGCATGTATGCATGCATGTGTGTATATATATATATACACATATACATATATACATATATGTGTATATGCATATATACATATATGTGTATATGCATACATATGCATGTATGTATGTATGTATGCATGTATGTATGAATGTATGCATGTATATGTATGCTGTGTATGTGTATGCATGTATGTGTATGCATGTATGTGTATGCATGTATGTGTATGCATGTATGTGTATGCATGTATGTGTGTATGCATGTATGCATGCATGTGTGTATACATACATATATATATACACATATTCATATATACATATATGTGTATATGCATATATACATATATGTGTATATGCATACATATGCATGTATGTATGTATGTATGCATGTATGTATGAACGTATGCATGTATATGTATGCTGTGTATGTGTATGCATGTATGTGTATGCATGTATGTGCATGCATGTATGTGTATGCATGTATGTGTATGCATGTATGTGTATGCATGTATGTGTATGCATGTATGTGTATGCATGTATGTGTATAGTGTATGCATTTATGCATGTATGCATGTATGCATGCATGTGTGTATACATAAATAAATATATATATATATACATGTGTGTGTGTCACAGCCGTTCTTTCTACTCCACCACCAGAGCTTGTCATCCGATGGATGTTCCATCTCAACAGCTGCCTATACAACTACAACCGCTTTGACCTCACACCTTCCTGGCCATCACCAGGATAACGGCTTATGCCTGCAAAATTCCCCTCCTGGCCATCCCGCGAAGCAGTGTTGCTTCCATGCTTTGCTCCGAAATGAAGCGCCAGGTAGCCCCACCTCTCCTGAAACTGTAGAGAGAAAAATGTCCTGGGATATCAAGATGTTGAATCAAAGTGTGAAACACGTGACGTAGATCAGCAGGCGAAAAAATTCTTTGGGCAACTTGTCTTTGGGTTTCTTATTTCGGAGCGCTGCCCAGAGCCAGATATTGGTCACATGACTCTGACACACTATAGTAGATACCATTTCAGTAGCTCCCTTGCGCTGACCAGACTTGGTGTTGCGAAGAGACAGGACAGCCCTGCCACATGCCCAAGTCACATCTCCTGCTGTCAGGGCATACAATTCCCCTGGCCGCAGCAAGGCATCAAAGGCCACAAGGAACGCTGCCGCCTCAGCTATTCGCCCTAGGCGAACACATGCGCCGCTGATGGCCAACACCATCAACGGGTTGATTGGCAGGACACGCAGTGGAGGTTCCATCTTTTGCCATGATTTAAGGAGTCGCCAGCTGTGCCTGAGTTTCCCAGCGGCCTCAAGCAAAAAATGTTGAAGTGCTGCAAGTCCAGTCCATCTGACCCATAGCCTTTCGGATAGCCTTCAGCAAAGACATGTTCCAAATACTGGGAGGCAGCAAGATCAACGTCTTCCCAGCGTTGAGGGGTCAAATTGCTGTGCTCCCAAAAGGTCAGGATTCTGCCTGCCGCGATTGCATAGCGTCCATGCAAGGTAGGACTGAGAACCTTGTCGGTCAGTGACAAGCCAGCCCGGTTGACTTTGCGGGCTTTGCGACGCTCTTCTTGTTGGCGCTTGCTCGCTTTGACCATCGAGAAGGAAGATCAGCAGGGTTGTCTCAACTGGCGACGTACCCAACTGCCAGTCGAATCTCACCCGCCACGAGGAGTGCAGCCAACTTCTGGATTGCTCTGCGCAAACGGGCTGGACGTGCGTCCTTTCGAGATAACCAAGGCCACCACCTAGTTATCCACCAAGTGTAGAACTCGATGACGAAACCTGGCTACCTTACGGAGCCTCGATTGCAGGGCATGCAATGTGGCTTGAAGCTCGAGCACGTTGATATGACTAGGGTGCTTCCATGTAAAACCATTGATGATTTTCCCATGGAATAAACGTGATCTAAGTCCAGTTCTGGGCCAAGCCTTAGCCCTGAAGGTCTAACTTAACATCAGTGCCCCCCCCCGGTCACCCTGGCGTAAGAACTCTTGCACCAACATGCGGCTGTGTTCATCAGGCTTGGAGGTAGAATCAAATGCAGGGTGATCACACCATGCTGGGGGAGCAGAATCGTCTCTTACTAGAATGCGGTCGAGTTGCCGGGCTCGATGCGCTTGGTCATGATGTTTAAGGAGCTCATCAAGCAGGAAGGTGATGCTGCACACGTTGAAGGAATTGCCAATCATACAGGCGCCCTGGACAAAGGCCTCTGCCAGGGTAAGATTTGGACTGAATCCTACAGAAACATATCCAGCAGGAAAGCCCATGAGCTTTTCACGTTCCATGAGGGACGGCGTCCTGAGTTGCCCGTCATATCGCCTTACAAGGTGACGAGCTTCGTATTGATAGACCTGGAACTTGTATGCATCGGCTTGCCACCGACGAATTGCCTCAGAGCTTGCTGTCTGCAAGCCCGCTGGTTGCTTTGGATGGGGTCCTCCTGGGCAGCGCACGCGTGAAGGTTGGAAGGGGCAGGCAACCTTCATGAGAACAAAGAGGATCAAGCCACCAATTGGAATCAGGGCAAAGGTTGGGGAAAAGCCATTCCACATAGCCTTCATGCTGGACCAATTTTTCATCACCGTGAACAGTGATTGGCCAACTCACTCAAAAGAGCCGAGGACACCGTCATTTTGCGAATGCCGTGCAATCCAGAAGGACCGGTTCATATCCCAGCGTCGTTGAGAACTGGTCTCGGTTCTCTTTCGTCATGGAATACACATTTTCCACAAACTTGAAGACAGGGCAACAAAAAATCTTTTCCAGCTCCTTGAAGATGCGGGGCATTTCAAAGAAGAGCTTACTTCTAGATCCCCCAACCCTTCCCTGGCCGCCAACAGGGCTGAAAGTCCTGGCAAGGACTACCCCCACCACAGAGCACAAAGTCAACCTGACGTCCCACGCACTTGCACAGAGACTCAAGGGCTGAGGATGATATCACCAGAGCAGCAGATGTCTGCTCCTGCGAGGGGCAAAGAACTGATCGCCCATAGGAGTTCCTGTATGCCTGCTGTAGTTAAAGGTCGTCACACCGTAGGCGCTCATTTGGCCGAATCGCTGCAAGCAATGCCATCAGTGGTCTGCGAAACTCAAAGCACCTGACCAGGCGGCCCAGCACCATTAAAATGGTTTTCACTGGAGGCCTGTCAGGCCCCAAACACCAGATACCAAAGAAGGCTACCTCGATCTGTTTCTGTTTTGGGACTGCCACGGTGCCTCCGACTCCATCCACCTCTATACGTACCACGCGTGGCTCCCGAACATGCGCCTTGTCTTCTGAAATTCCTACCCCCCTTCTGCTATATGCCTCTCGCTGTCTCTTGTGGGCTTCGCTCATTGTTCCCGGGAGTTGCTCCCAGCCACCGCTGGAGACAATCTCAGGGCAATCAAAATCATCAAAGTAAAATTGAACAAACTCCAGAGTGAGCCCATGCGATGCTTGAGGTGCTGGCCGATCTCGCCTCCATTCAAGCTCTTCAGGATGACCAGCGCCGGCAGGATACGGGTTCATACCCGAAGTCCTATGGAGATGCTGAAACAAGCTAACAGCCTGTATCCATCCCATGGAGATAACGCTGGAAGCCACATATTCCCAGGGGCGAGGTGACCTGACCAAGTGGCCAGGAACCGGCCAAGCGAAAGCCATAAAGGGCCGCCATGCAGGTGGGAGTTCCCAGGCATAGAACGCTCCTTTCTGATCGCCCCCACTCCAGAGAAGAACCTGATCGTCATCCAAGATCAGCTGGCTCCAAGCGCTCACACTTGACAACGTGTTGAGATCGCCTGCCATCAACCGCTGGAAGCAATTAGCGGGGATGAAATCATGATAACGTACACGGGTTACTCGTGACTGGCCAACACCAGCCCTACCCTTCTTCTCCACGGCGAACGCTCCATTCAGGACAGGGGCGTTTTGAACGTGGAAGATGTCCTCTAACCTAATAGCTTCTATGATCCCAAGTTCGTAAAGCACACCGCAGATCTTGTACCATTCACTTTTTTGGCTGTTGATCCTTGCCCTAGGGAGAGTCTTGGTCCATTGTTCGCACGGCTTCAATGTCAACATGGGGTCTTCAACCCAAGCTTTCACCTCCCCTGCTGCAGCTGCCACTGCACTGAGAGATCCCGCCACGCCTCATACCGGAAGGCCCGGCAAAAGTTCTTCCAACCTGAGCGGGAGAGCATCCTCCCCACTGTAATCTATAACTTTACTTTTCACCAGGTCTGAAAAGTTGGGAAGTTGGTGAAGCTCCAAGGGGCCTGACCCATCTATTGATGTCTTCCATAGCTGCCCTCTGTGTCTCGGCTAGCTTCTTTGTATCCCCATAGTTGAAGTTCCATTGACTATTCATTCCATTGAAAACCAGAATGCAAAGACAACGCCGCAACTGAATACAGCCCTCCAATACCAACTTGTTCCGCTGTTGCCTGCTCAGCCTTTTTGACCGCACGGCAGCTGGTTCTGCTAGCTCCAGCAGCCCATCTTTGCCAGATCTGGCATGGCTGAGCACTTTCAACGCAGCTCCCAGTGGGGGCAAGGGAAGTGGAAAAAGATCCCTTACCCGAGCAGGTGAAGTGGAGTTTGGAGACGATCATCTGATCATCAATCTGATCATGCATCCATTTCCCAATAAGTTCCCCATCTCGTGGGCCAACCAGTAGAAGCTGCAAAAGAGACACACCTAATTGTAAAACGCTGGTCTGAAAGGTGCCAATCTGCTTACAAAGCATTCTAAGGGGAGACTGTTGTAACTGATGGACATTGAGGGCACTGAAAAGAACATTCATTTTGTCGTGGGGGTGCTCATCAAAATCAACACCCATCCCTTGGACTGGCACACTAGTCACCTGAGGATAGGAGAATTTGGCCTCAGGGACTTGGAAAGAGTTGCACTATGCTCTGCTGGCGCAGCCACGCAGCTAATTTCACCTGCCGTCACAGGCGCCGCACAGCTGCTACCATCTTTGCTACTTTCCCCTGCCTTCACAGGGGCCTTTACTTCCTCGATCCTTTTCCTTTTGACTTCGCCGACACTCCGCTCTTCTCCTCCTCCTTTCTTTTGTACTGGAAGATCCTGTTCTTCCACTGCGACCGGGTCTTGTTCTCCAGTCGTGGAACTGCCTCTCGAGCATCCTTCGTCCTCATAAGACCCGGTGGGGATCCCCTGGCTCTGCTGGCAACCTCACTTGTCTCCTCAACGGACTCCTCTCGTCCTTCATGGCTGACTTCCTTTTCGGACTCGCTGGCTGAGATTGCACATTTGTCTCTGCAGGGGGGTGGCGCTGAAGGGGTGCAAGCCGTGATCCACTTGCAGCCCCCCGCCGAGTCCTTAGACCGCTCCAACTGCCTTCCGGAGCAGTTCAGAACTCTTGGTGCGCCCTTCACTGCCATGCTGCGAACCCAGGCTCCAACAACGCAGAGGTGCAAAGAGTCAGTAGTGGCCCCCAGCATAGTGATCTGCAAAGCCAAAAAAAGCCAAAGCCAGTCTCTTTGATGGCAACCAACGTGGCCAGGCCTTCCTTCTTAGCTCACATAAGCCCCGATCACCTTGCCTGAGTCCTCCGCACGCACGTCTTTGTCAGGGGAACCCAAGAGGTCCTTGTCTCTATAGGCTGATGCCGCCTTGTCAAAACAAAAACCAGAGGCCGAGCTGTCAGGCGCCGTACCATCCTCCTCCACGGAAACCGCAAAATAGTCATCAATGCAAAGACCCTGAGCCAGCCTGTCGTCTTGAAGTGGAGAATGGCTCTGAACCCTGGAACGAAGATTGAGGAGGCCATAGTTTTGAAGCAGCTGGGAATGCGACTCAGTAGCCAGGTCAACCCCCGCATGATCTCCCTGAAAAATGCTCTTGAAGGCAACCCAGACATGGCCAATGCCAAACTGACTCCCATCATGAAGAATTCCAAGCCCATCCCCATGCAAGAGCCGGTCATACCTCCTCTTCTTCTCCTGACACAAGCAAAAAAGCCCTGCAGTGCCTTCCAGCATCTCCTCATCAATGCCAGGACCAACAGAGTTACACAAGGCTTTTGCTTTTGGACCCAAATCTGATGATAAAAATCACGCCTGTCTGTGACTGAAACCCGTAACTGCTGACTGTTCACGTTGATATAGATATACGTTGACTGATTTTTGAACACGTTGAATACCTTGGTGCACTCACCCTCAACGTAGGGTCCTTTCTCTCCTCTGTGCACCAAGAGAAGTCCTTTGACATCCCACACTCTAGCCAACTTTGCAACCTCTTCGCAAGTGTCATTGAAACAAGGAAAACAGTTGGTGGTTGCGGCATGCGTATGGTCATAGGCTCACGGTAGGCCATCACCAGCTCGTCTGACAGGTAATCAGTAATGTCCCACCTTCCACTTCCATGCAAACAATCCGGCTAGCATCAAGGCTACGGTAAGGCTCCAGCTCAGGCATTGTCGTGTTGTCCTTTTGAACCACCTCACCTTGACCAGAAGAAGACCTGCTGTAAGGATCACAAGAAGGCCCTAATTTTGTCAAGGCATCTGAGAGTTCACCAAGCCGAGGGAAACACCGGCCAGCTTTGCAGACATGAATATCACCAAGACCAAGCTGACCTTCCGACCTCACTAGAGAACGTACATGCCGAAGAATTTTTTTGTGCTGCACATTCAAACTCCTCTGTAAAAGGCTGCCATCAAAATAGGGTCCACCAAAATGCCAGTAGTTAAAGGCCATGACTACACAAAAGTGAACTTTCTGAGAAGGGGAGTCTTGCCCTTCTTCTCAGCAACCTCGCCAGGCTTCCCATTGAATAGACCCCAAAAAGGAATCGGTATGGGGAAAAAAGGTCGGAGCAGGCCTCAAGCACCCGGGCTCGGACCTGGAGACCACCATCATACGCAGAATGAAGGGCGAGAACGAGCACCTGGATCTGATAATGAAAGAAATCAAACGAGAGCACCACATAGGAAAAGACACCTTAATCTCAGCAAGCTCCTCCTTCTCAGATGGCCTGAAAACAAAAGGCTCCCTCCTTCCACCATCAAGGGGTACTTTGGGACTGTGCTCAAATTCAGGGGCTTGCTCTTCGTCTTGCCCCTCCGCATGCAAAAAACGAACATCCTCTAATTCGAAGTCTCCCCGGGAGCCGCTTTTGGCTTCCGAGGATACCTTGGCTTGCGTTTGGGATTCGGATTGTCCTCCTCCTTCGTTGCTGCAGCTGCTGGAGGCTGGTTCTGACCCTTTTTCGGACTCTTCACCTCTTGCTTTCTCGAAGAGAGCACCTCGACCTCCTTCATGAAACTCAAGGTCGTGGCTGCAAGTGAAGGAGGAACCAAATCGGCAAAGGGTCGACCAAGCCCGGTGACAGACGCCGGCCTCTCCTGAAACATATGCAAGGTGCCAATCATCTAGCACTGACTGTTCCAGGGCAAGGGCTAAAAGTGCCATGAACTCCTCGCAGTTGTGCATGTTGTCGGACGCCGCAGCATCCATAGCATGGCTCAGGAGCCAAAGCGCAAGGCCAGACTCTTTCGCACCCTTGAACCCGCCGTGGCGCTCCATTCATGTAATTAATGCGTCATAGAGACTGACGAAGCTGCCAGGTCCTCCTCCTTCGCAGGCACCGGTCGAGCTGGATACATCTTCCGATGAACTTGCTGTAATACCTGCAAGAAAAAAGCCGATGTTCCTGCAGCCAGCTCGGCCTGCATTTTCTGCCTGCGCATGAGCCCCTTTGTAGATCCCCCAAGGGATGTAGAACTTGAACTTGGCAGCTGAAGATCAGTCATTGCATCGCCTCCTCCAACCAAATGAGCAACGAGGGTGGTCATGGTTGCGCTCTGCTTGCTCAGGATGTCCAAAACTGGGCTCGCTTCCTCTGGGACCTCGAAGACCCTGTCCAGAAGTGCCCAATCCTGAAGGATTCTGCCTTGTCCTTGGGAATGGGCCAATGAAACCTGCTGCCTGCTGCCCCCCCAAGGCCCCCCTTCGGAGGTGAGAGAGACCCGGAGAGGCTTGGCATAGCGGGAGTTGCAAGAGCTCCTCCATGCTTTGGCCCTGGCGCAGCTTTTGCAGACAGAACCTGATCCATGTCTTGTTGGACCTGCAACATAGCTGATACCTGAGACGCAAGAAGAGAAATCTGTTCTGCCACATTTGCATTTGAAACTCTCTTTGCTGCGGCCTTCTTGGGTTGGCCTTGAGGCCTCTCCGGGGGACCATTCGGCTCTTCTCGAGCACTGTAAAAATTTGTCCTACCAGAAGCCTCTTCAGCCCACTTCAAAGCATGCTCAAGAACATCCGATGCCATGGGAAGTGCTTCTGGACGAGAGGCCTCAAAAGTGACGATGGTTTCAAGGGAGTCAGGAACTGGGTCAAACTCTCTAGCCATGGCAAGAACTTCGTCGCAGAAGTCCACGCAGAAAGCTCCAGTTCTCACATCCAGACCTGAGCCATCATCCTCCTCTGCAAGCTCAACATTGACTGAAAAAGGAGGCCCCAAAAAAGCAGCCTCATCTGCCAACTGCCCTGCCTCAAGGGCCTCCTCAAGCACCACAACCCCAGGAATCAACAAAAGGATCCCAGATCTCCTCTTCAGCAGCAGCAACGCAAAAGTCTGAACATCACCATAGTCTGCAGGCAGCCTGATGACCAGAGTTGTTGGGTCGCAGCTCTTACTGATGACTTCTCCATGCTACCAGAGGCGGTACTGGTATGTCTGCTCCACAGCAAAGGACACAGGCACAACAATCTCTTGACCGCTATGGCGGTGCAAAATTTGCAACAGCTCTTCCCTTGAGTTACACCTCAAGGGCTTTGATAACCCCTCTCCTCTACAGAGCGCCCACTGATAGGGTATCAAACTCTTCTTTGTGAAATGGTCCGTAAAAGGAGTATGACAAAGCGCCGCAAGTTGCGCCCAAAAGCCACAGCAAAAAAACTGCAACTGCTCGAATGCCCGCTGCTTCCTCACTCAACAAGAGTCGCTGCTTGAGAAGCTCAATACAAGAAACTGGGGCTTATCCCGGGTAAGGCTTCGGCAAAGGATTTGGCCTCTGGGGCTCTAAAACCGAAACTGTGCCCTTGTCTGTAATTCCTGCCTCCTCCAACAAACACACACTCCTATCTCGCTCCACCACCAACCGGTCTATCTGCAGCTGAAGTGAATCACGAACCTCGTTCAACTGTTGAAGTTCAACTGCTTTTGAAGATCACAAATCACCATGGCCACATGGTTGTCACTCATGCACGTACTGCCCAATCCTTGAAACCTCCTCACTATCTCACCAGAAGTCTGAGAGGACCAGGTAGATGGTGGAGATTGAGAATGCCAGGGAGCAGGAGTGAAGAAAGGAGCAGGTGGCCGGCAGAAGCACCAAAATCCAAGTAAAAGTCCAAGGGAGGTGCCAGAAATCAGACCAGCCAGGAATCCAGGGGTGATAGAAGGCCCGCAGTGGACCGGACAAGACAGCAACCAGGTGTAATGAGAGAAGCTCTCCAACAGCCAGGGGATGGATGTCCAAAAACTCATTTCTTGAGCAACGAAAAAAAAGCCATGTCTAAATCGTGGATACCGAGTGCATATGTATATATATATATATACATGATATATGTATATATATATATGTATATATATATGTATGTATATATATATGTATGTATATATATATATATACAGTATATATATATATGCATACACATATTGTGTCTTACCCATTTTTTCCTCCAGCGAAAAGGAAAGAAATGGCAAAGAAATCATATGCCATGTCGTTCAAATGTCATTCCAACTTCCATAGCAAGATATAGCAGCAGATCTCTGAAAACCCGGGCGGCCTGTGTTCCAGTGTAAAGGTCCAGGATTTTGTAATCACTGCGACCCTCCGCAATGGCAACCTGAGGTCAACTTGACTCAGAAACCACTCTTCAACTTCGGCATTCTGAAAACTGTTGGAATCGACGAGCAGTCACTAGCAGTCGCTAGCACTAGCAGCTAGAAGCACTGCCAGGCAACTGAAAGCGTGGCATCAGCTCCACCTTTGTTGACAATGAGCCAAAGAGCGTCACCTCAAACAGTGGATGCATGATGCAAACATATGCAGACTCAGAACATCTCAGAACCTTGCATGTAAAACTGGCCTGGAATCGCAGTCTAGACTTAGGTCATGAAGAACTGGATCTTTCCAACTATATATACATCATCAGCTTTAGAATTCCATCCGAATGCTGCTGGAAGCTTTATAATTGCAAGCATATGCAGTTGGTCGACAGGTGGTTCGACAACTTGAAATATCTGGTTCGACAACTAAAACATATGTTTCGACAACTATGGTTCGCCGACTAAAATCGTCGGATTCAACAACTACAAATGCTTGGTTCGAGACCTATGGAGGAAGTCAGGTTCGACAACCGTCAATAAACCCTAAACATCCCTTAACCAACCCTGAACCGCAGTTGCTGAACCAAAGTTGCTGAAATGTAGTTGTTTAAGCGCCAAATTAGTTTCTGAACACTAGTTGTTGAACAATGGCAAGCTGTTGAATGGTAGTTGCTGAACCAAGCATAGTTGCTGAACCGGGGCTTGTTGACATGGAGTTCGCCTGGACGTGAATTCCCATTGCTCGCCTCTGCTCTCAAAGCGCGACCCGAAGATGCCGTGTTCTGGGACAGTCGCCTTGTTCAAAACTGTGAGTCAACTGATCAACGCTAGCTGCTCCGTTAGCTGCAGACATTGCTCAGCCGTTAGCCGTTGCTCGTGGACAATTCGATACATAGAGGCTGGACTCGACCATTTCAAACTACAGTGTCAAGCACAGGACCAGCATGAAGCCTTTCTTTCTGGGAGCTACATCAAGAATTGCCCACATCATAAAGTCTACAGCACTACTGTGCATTAGCACCAAACGACACACTGGCACGTAAGCAATACCAATCTCCCAAGACTGACCATGGCCCTGGCATTCCACCTTATTGGGAGCAAGAACTATCACCATTCAAAGAAACAAGATGACAAAGAAGACTTGGGAAGGGGAAGAAGAAAGGTAGGGGATCAGGAAGACGAACCAAAAGACGGAGAAAAGTGTGTAAAAGTTTCTCTCTGCACAAACCTCTCTGTGTAAGAGCATGTGCGCATGAAGGCTGCTCTGTGTAAAGGTTGCTGTGCGTATCGTCGTCTGTCTGTAGAAGAAGTTCGAGCAAAGGCGTCATGCCATTTATAGAATGCTGAAAAGGAATCCAAAGGACAAACAAAAATACGGATATCCCGGTGTCATCCATTGGCATTCATTATCTGGAAGGGAAACGACAGGAAGCAAAAAAGATCCATACTAAAAAAAACCTCTTTGCCTGTTTTTTGTTGTGGGGAGAAAAACTTCGTTGTGTAAAAGCTGTTCTTTGCGAAGGTTTCTCTGTGAAAAAACTTCTGTGTGTGAAAGCGTCTGTGTGTAGAAGCCTCTGTGTGTAAAGGCGTCTGTGCGTAAATGCTGCGCTGTGCAAAAGCATCTTTGTGCAAAGCATCCGTGTGTAAAAACTCCTGTGTGTAACTGTGCGAAAGCTTTTTTGCGTGTAAAGGCGTCTGTGTATAAAAGTTTCTCTCTGCACAAACCTCTCTGTGTAAGAGCATGTGCGCCTAAAAGCTGCTCTGTGTAAAGGCTGCTGTGCGTAACGTCGTCTGTTTGTAGAAGCGTCTCTCTGCAAAATGCGTCGCCACACCAACATCTCAAAAAAAAACATGAAACCAAAAAAATCAAGCTAAAATGCTTGCTGTCGTTCCTGTTTGTTGATGATGGCGGTGATGCGCCCAGGGCCCCAAAAGGCGTCAGTTTGGCGGTCTCTAGCCAATTTTTGAAGGCCTTCGGGACAAAAAACACCGTAAATATCGATGTTGTTGGCACCTCGCAGGCCAAATTACGGTATTGACGAAGTTTTTGGCCCTTGGTAGCAAAAACCAGATATTTGCAGTGTTTTTTGGACAGCACTTAGCAAAAACAGTGGTATTTGCCCAGTTTTCATCATGTTGCAAGAAGTTTTTTTTCCATGCAAAAGTCACAACACCCCTGTAAATTCAGGGCTGGCCACCCTCCCCTTTGCTTCGTAAAGTAAAACTCAAGGTAGCCCCCACTGGAGTTGCCTTTCGTGACATGTTAAGCGTCCAACGCAAGAAAATACTGATCCACAGAGGTAGCCACATGATCCAAGACTTCACAGCACAAGCTGACATACCAGCACCAACACTACCAAACAGGAAGCAGCACATCACATCACAGAAAACATCCCGAACCAACTCTTGAGTCCTGGTGTTTCATGAAGTGAACCACCTCGTTTGGAAAGTGCTGTTCTTTCAACAAAGGGTTGTATTCCTTTCAGAAACGCATTGTTATTCCTGTAAAAGAGCGCGACATGTCCATCAGCTAGTTCAGAACCAAAAACAAGGCGACGTTGCTTTCGACAGTTGCAGAACTTCTTCAAGAATGCAGTGTTCCTTTTAGCATGCAGCATGCTTGAAAAGAGGCAGCATTCCTCTGAAGAAGAACACCAAGCATTTAAAAAAGTGATGCATGTACCCCTTTTGAACAGACTAGAGATGGAACTCTTCAGAAGATTATGTTTTTTTGGAGAGAGCACATCGCAAAAATGCAGTATGCTTCGGAAAGACCGGACTGATACAACTCTTGTAGGAAGTATATGTCCAAGAGAGTGCCGTATTTGGCAAGCAAGCCGAGCTAATACAAGAAAGCTGTCTTTCTTTCGCAAAGCATGATTCTTTCCAAAGAATGAAGTATCCTAAAAGGTTTCTTAAAAGAGTGCAGCACTCTGGCAAACAAGTGCAGTGCAGTACGGTGATAAAGAAGAGCAGCATTTGAAAAAGTGCTGCATTCTTTTCAGCCAGACATAGCTCGATGACCAAAGGCAGCATGCTTCAAGAGACTTGCAGTACCTTTAGATATTTATACAATCAGGGAAGCAGAGAATTTTCAGCTAGTGAAGCATTCAAAGTATATAAAGCATTCGTTTCAGAAATCTCCCCTCCAAGACGATGCATATTCTGAAGAAAAGGAGCATTCCCTTCAAAGGCTTAAAAAAAAAACAGCACTCAGTGGCACTCACTTTATCTCACTTTAAGAAGTGCAACATGCAGAGGGTCTGAACCAATCCTGAATCTGTTACTCAGAGTATACTTAACCATTAAGGGCCAGGGACTGTGAAGTATTTTGGACTTCCAGTGGACTCACGATTCAAGGCTTGACAGGAAATCGGTTAAATCCTGTACTCAGAGCATTCTGGACATGTTGAATAATTATACCTATATAAATCTGAATCTCTATAAGATCTAAGTTTATCCCAAGGTAATCAACGAGTTTTAGATCGTCAAAAAAAACCCACAGGTCCTATATACATGCAACAAACATAGCCTTCCTACATGAAAACAGGAGATGTTACTCTTCTGAAACATAGCTGAACCACGAGTATACCCAGACAAGCGGGTTTGAACTGATCTTGCAGTGAAAAGATGAAAGGTGGGTGCCGGATTGTACCGGGTGGTTGTCAAAACATGTCAAAACATCTTCCAATTTTTGGCAAGGCCCAGCCCTGACAGTTGAGAGTAAACTGAAGGTTCGATAAGGTTCGAAGGGGATTCCAGGATTCTGATGGATGGTGTCTGGATGGTGTCTGGATGTGTCTGGAATCAGTGCACAGTGCACACCCGTTCGACCCCAAAGCTCCAAACGACCGACCTCTGGGGCATGGGGAACCCACTCCTGGAACGGTCAGCTTCACAGAGTCTTTCCAGTCCCTACATACACGTTCCGTTTTTGATTTATTTTGTTATTTTGTCTGGATTTCTAAATCGTTCAACTTCATGGTCCACCCGATGTGCCTCAAAGTCGTGAGTGAAATTCTGCCGGCCGGCCCAGCGGAGTATCGTGGCAGCACGGCGCAGCAACTCAGAATCTCGTGCAGTGAGTTGATTGAAAAGGCCCCAGATGTTTTCCTGTCACGTGGAAACAACAAATCTGCGGTATCCATGGGAATCAGATGGAATCAGCGCTCATCTGTTCACTGGATTTGTGATGTCATTATGGGAGTTTGGCATCCAAGAGCGACGCATGTGCCAACTTGTTTGCACTTCACACATTCGCGGCAGTCCCAGGATTCGTAGCCATCACCGTTGAAAAAGGCCAGTTGTATGGCGCTTGTGCGGTTTTTGGACCAACGGTCGCAAACATGAGTCAGGTGTCTGCCCTGCCAAGCAGAGAAGGAAGGTGGTGATAGGTGGTGGTCGTGCAATAGTTGAGTTTCACAGTTTCACCTCTTAAAATCTTTCCTGATCCTTCAGCAGAACTTCAGCACTTTGTTTTGATTTCACAAGCTCAATGGGCCAGATTAGGCCAGAATCCTTTTGAAAGAAAGATGTGCCAGCAACAAAGACGGAGCTTGTCCTGAAGCAACAAGTGACACTCTTGCCCATAGCCAAACATCAATCAGGATGGTCACTTCAATAGAATCACGGCTCAAGTTAGCTGCTCGCTCCTTTAGAACTCAACACATCGCCATCAAAGCCACAAGAAGCTTAGGAACCAAGGAAAAATGGCAATATCTTTTTTGCAAAGAGTTCCCCCCTGGCATTGCCCAAACAGAAATCCACACTAAGAACAAATGTTTTGGCCACGGCGAAACTGGCGAAAACCCCCACCAAATTGGCCTTCGGATCCAGCCATTTGACCTTGTCAACACCTCCGATTGATCACGTGGCAGGCTCGGAAACACAGGGTCACAGGATTTGCACATTGTCACATATTGCAAGCTTGAGAGCTGTCAGATTTTCAGATACTGTTCTCAGTCCTTCCCATCTACGAGGTCACTAGGTATCACAAGGTCTACCATTTGCGAGAAATTCACTTGAGTTCCACGACTGACACAATTAGCATTGCATCACACGGTCTTTGCAGAGCACTTCACAAAGTAAAACACAACATCACACATCAAACACAATTATGTGCTGCTGTATGCTGCTACACGCTGCTACATGCCTGGGGCAAAGTCGTAGCTGTAAGTCATTTTGTCCACTTTGTGGCCAAAGTAACCCCACCCCAGCGGCGTCCAACCTGGTCCGCTTACACTGGTTCGGTCGAACTGAAATCCACTAAATCTAGCCATGCGAAACACTGGTTAGGACGGTTAGGATATGTTAGGATCACTTACGACCCTTCAGAATGTAAATTCCCCTGTCCTCTCTGAATTCTATGCTTGGGGTTTGGGGCTGAAGGATACAGTAGAAGTTAGCATGAGGGGATGATAGGGGATGCTGGGTCGGGCTTTAGAGGACGTCACAGCATCCAAATTGTGTCCAGGCGAACCACTGGATCGGGTTAGACACTCCTAGGATTCAGAAAGGGATTTGATGCCGGCCAAGCTCGGGAAAAAGAGATGGTCAAGTCGAAATATCTCTATATCTCTGATAGCAGTGCAAGCTGTGTGGTGGGGAACGGTTTCCGTGGTTTCTACTATTCCTCACAAATGTGCAGTTTCAACCTCGCCTGCAGATGTCCAATTCCCTGCGCAGCTGTAGCCGCCTCCTTCTGGCTCTGCTGCAATGGGATGCCCAACGCGCAGGGAGGAGCGCCAGAACTCCTGGAAAGAGAATCTTGGGGGTTCAACGGTTCAAGTGGATAATTTGTAAGGGCTGTTGTCTTTGCAAGCAGCACTTTGTAGCTAAAGTCTAGTCTTTCATTTAGAGTTTGAATCTCTCCATTTGTACAGTATCTGCCTCATATCTCATATTTGTATATTTGCATCATTTTGTGTGCGGTCAAGTTTATGCTTTTATGTAATACAAAATAATTTGCAGCATTTTCAACCTAGACCTTACACAGCAGTTTGTGGTATTTTGGAATTAGAGGTATTGCTATTTTCTTGTTGCCACTGCTGTTGGTGGTGTTGCCGTTGCTGTTGTTGTTGCTGTTGCTGTTGCTTTTGCGTGGTGGTTATGCCCCCCACAAAACATGATTTGCTGGGACCGATCCTTTGGCACAGTGCAGATTGCATGGCACGGGAGGATGCAGCGCCTCCCACTCCCACCCAAGGCGTTTAGCTGCACAGTGCAGTTGTGTTCATCTTCTTGTTCTAGTGTTGTTCTGATTGTCGGAAGCTGATTGTTTTTGTTGCGTTCCTTCTCCTTCTTTCACTGATTTTTCCTCATTGTTCTTTCTCACAGCACAACAACGCCAAGAAGCACCAAGCCGAAAACAGCAAAACAGTTCAAAAAAGCGAGGAGTCGCAAGCCCAGGAAGCCCAAACTCCACAACCAAAAATGAACAGCGGCCAACAAAACCACAAAGACAAAAGCCATCAGGCCATGAATGTCAAACGCCAGACAGCCACACAGCCAGCAGCAAATACCGTGCGAATCAAAGATTTTGGTTTCAAAATGCGGCAAATTGCATCGAAGACATATATACATATATATCTATATATATATGTGTGTATATATATATACATATATATATATATATATGTACACAGACTGCAAAAATATACCTTCTGAATCTTGGCCAAATGCAATCAAAATAAAATCTAAGACTTGGGGCTGAAAGCCCACGCTGTGAACTTCGCTTTGAAGAATCATGGGTAGTTGGTGCATGGCCTTTAGATGGCTGTGTGGTTTTGTGTACATGAGTAATTACAGGTATAGGCTTGGGGGTGGGGGGGTTCGGGTGGGCTATTAGCTGCACTTGCGCACGCCACTGTTTCTTCACCACAGTGCGACGTTGGATGTGGGACCGGGTGTGGGCTATCATATAACGTTCGTCTGACCTTGCGCGCGCAGTTGATGCTAAGTTCTTAATTTTCTCTCTTAGCTTACACACGTGATGCTACGCTCGTTACCCACACACACACACACGACGCAACAAATAAACCTTGATGCTACGGTACTCAAACTTGAGATAAAGACATGATGGATTGCTGCTAACCAAATGGAGCCACGCTCGTTGCTACGCTACTGCTACTCAATATAGACATGAATGCTTTTCAGCACAGAAACAAAGGCACGGTTCTTGCTACGATAATAATACTTTACAAATAATACTACATATCATATCGAATCATATCCCTTTCGTGCTGGTGTCAAAAAGTCACATACTTGAAAAACATTGTTTTTAAAAGACACCAACCATTATAATATATATATATGATATTTGTATGATAGTATGAACAAAACCATGGACAGGGAACGTTAGATCGTTTAGCCAATTGCTCAAAATTGCACATAAACACAGTGAAGGAATTGGAAGACATCAGAAGACTTTCCAACAATTTCAGTTCCTTTCAGTGCCACTTTGTTCATGTGGCAGAATCCCCCAGCACATCCTCAGGTATGGTGAGCATAGTATCACCATTGAATCCATCGCCTTGATGGCAGTTCTGGATGTGAGTTTGGTAAATGGGTAAATATCAAGATCAAAAAATATCAAAAAGTCCCCTATTCTTGAAGCCCGGCCGTTTTTCATCTGGCAAAGGCCTTCGGCACTGCACATGTTTCTAGAATCATGCAAAATGAGAAGGGTGCTCAAGTCCAAAAAACAGCTTGCTAAATGCACAAATGAGACGGATTCCGAAAGCAGTGCAAGAAACCACAGCTGATCTCATGGTCTGTGGGTCGACAGGAATGTAAAATCCCTTGCCTCCAGTTGCTTTCAATAGCCCTGCCAGAGTGTCCCAATGGTTTCCTTCTTGTCGTGTCGCTTGGTCCCACGGATTGTAGCCTGGGCAGTCAAGACTTGGAGGCAACATGAGACAACCAGTAGGCGAACTTTTTCAGACTGTGGATACTGATCTCTCCGTAGCGTGGTGTTTGCCAAGAGCTTAACACTTAACACTCCTGCGCTGGCTTTCAAGTCTTTGAAGGTCCTAGTTTTGACACCAAGTCTTCACTAGACCGCCAGGTGACCCCAAAGGACTCTGACACCGCGTTGGTGAAATTCACGAGTGGTCTCTGCAAGGCGAGACAATCCGCCAGGAAGAGCTCGAAAGTAGTCAAACTGATTCCTGCGGATACCAGTGGCTACTGAATCCTTTGAATTCGAGAAATGACCATTTCGATTTCACAAGACCAAACCAGTGACACTGCGGAAATCCTTTGAGTTGATCCATCGAATGGCAAGGTCTTGAAGCAAAAATGTGCATGCTACATTTCAAGAGTTGCTCCAATGAAATACAGCTTGAATTTATTGAATCTCCACTGAATCCATTTCAAAAACTCTCACTTCAAAGAAAACATCTTGTGATAATGACATCAAAATCCAAACGCTCATGTTTACAACTTATAATGTTTCTATGCGAGAAAATTTACTGACTGCATGACCATTTTCACTTGCCCCCTTCTGACGGCCTTCTGTGTCTTCTGTCTTCATAATCTTTGTTTGACCGTCCAGGCCACACCGTCCAGGCCACACTGTCGGTCCTATCGTCGATGCCGATATTGGTATAGGTTGGCCAAATTAGCACCGAATCAATGCCCCCATACCGCTGCTTCAAGTCATCCAAGTAGCGATCCACTGTCCAAGCGCCGTCAAACAAATACCTACCCACAGCATGGCCAAACCCCACATGTCGGCTGCACTCGGGTGCAGAAAGTATGACAACATGATGTTCCATTTGGCATTTTATAGTGAAAAAAGGATCTGCAAATGTACTTTGGCTTCTCAAGTTCATCTCTCAGATGATTGATTTGTGAAATGGCCAGTTCAAAGTAAAAACATATCAATTCAATCAGTACAATTGGCGTGCTGCAAGAGGTTCCCTGTCATTTCATTTTGGGACGTTCACCGGAACACATATTTGTGATCGATACAGGGTTTTAGAATTCATGCATCACCTCCACAAAGTTGGTTTTGCGGAAACAAGGCACGCTTTCACAGTTGAGGGTTCCGTGGTCGCCTAATTTATCAATTTGTCATATCGTCAAGTTGCACAAAGGTTCTTTTGGGTGGAATATCACGGATGTCACTGCGAGTGCCTGTTCATTAGGACCAACTGTTCGTCAATTTAATTTGTTCATGAAACGCTACTGGGCGTCATCCAACAAATCGTCATGTATAAATCAAATGTATAAATCAAATGCATCACAAAAACACACACATACAAATCTACATACCTGCTCTACCTACCTACTTACCTACCTACCTACCTGCCTACCTGTCTGCCTGCCTACCTACCTACCTTTCCATCTATCCATCCATCCATCAATCAATCTACAGTATCTGTCTGTCTGTCTGTCCGTCTGTCCGTCGGTCCGTCCGTCCGTCTGTCTGTGTGTCTGTCTGTGTGTGTGTGTCTGTCTGTCTGTCTGTCTGTCTGTCGGTCGGTCGGTCGGTCGGTCGGTCGGTCGGTCGGTCGGTCGGTCTGTCGGTCTGTCTGTCTGTCTGTCTGTCTGTCTGTCTGTCTGTGTGTCTGGCTGTGTGTCTGTCTGTCTGTGTGTCTGTCTGTGTGTCTGTCTGTGTCTGTGTGTGTGTGTCTGTCTGTCTGTCTGTCTGTCTGTCGGTCAGTCCATCGGTCGGTCGGTCGGTCAGTCTGTCGGTCTGTCTGTCGGTCTGTCTGTCTGTCTGTCTATCTATCTATCTATCCGTCCAACCATCCATCCAACCTACCTCCCTTCCTCCCTCCCACCTACCTACACACACGCACACACACTTTCATGCATCCATACATCCATACATACATCCATACATCCGTACATCCGTCTATCCATACATACATACATGCATACATTAGTTCATAATACATTGGTACATGGATACCTAAGTACGTAGATACATAGATGAAGGAATGGATGGATGGATAGATACATGGATAGATACACAGACAGACAGAAAAATGAATGAATGGATGGATGGATGGATGGATGCATGGATGCATGGATGCATGGATGCATGGATGCATGGATGCGTGGATGCATGGATGCATGGATTCATGGATGCATGGATAGATAGATTGGATAGTTAGATAGATAGATAGATATTTTACACATCGATACGTAGATACATGGACACATGGATACAATCTATGTATAAATTAGTACTATTATTATTGAATTTGCAAATACATACATACATCTATGTATATCATATATATGCAGTATTTGTTCGTTTAAAAAATGTATAGATATATAGATATAATATATATATACGTACGTACATATCAGTCATATCAACCATTGTGAACCAACCCAAATTGAAATTCAGCTAAAAGGTTTACTACACACGATTAGTCAAACATCATGGTGTGCAAAATGCATTTGTTTGGACTCGCAATTTTGTACACGTTTTGTCAGGTATTCATAAATCACATTCATGGAACAGATCACATCAAGAAAAAAACATCTGCCTGTCGTATGCATGGACTTGCGGTTGCACGAACGAAGTGCGTGTCCAAACCAGTGATCCTTCGTGGTAAATTTCGCCAGTGTGGTTCCTCGGTTTGGAAAATGAACAACGTATATATATATGTATACATATTAAAAAAACAATATAGTGTGTTTTGAAAAATGGCACGGCATTCAAAATGTCCATTTCACCCTGACTGGAAGTGACCATGTTCTGAATTTTGAGCCATGCAAAAACCATACAACCCAAAAACCGGATTGGAACTGAACATCCATAAACCCAAAAAATATGCACAAATGCAAATAAACACGCCAATCAAAACAAATTGAAAGAACCAAAACACAATTTTCCGAAGTATGTGCAATCCATGGTGCTTCAAATGATGTTTTCTCCACTCCATCAAACTCGCAAGCCAAACGTCATGTTTCACGTTTCCTGGCGCATCAAATGTCCTGGGTATTTCGTTCCAGCAATCTCCCGTTGCCACGCGCCAAAACTCAAATAAAAACGCCCATCTCAAAGACATGGCAAGCCAAAGGGCGAATGTCTGATTGCGTGTGTTATTAGGTGGTGTTGTCAAATTGCGACCAATGGTTGGACATCTTGCAAGTTGTGATGTTCGCCTTTTGGGGGTCAAAATCCCGCGTTTGTGTACTGGTCCATTTGGATTTCAACGATATCTGTCATGCAATGTGTTTTCTACCAGACATGTTTACTCAGTAAACGCTACAGTAAATGTGGTTGCGGGCAGCAAAGCGTGCCGATTTTCAAACCACAAAGGCAAAATTCAAACGGAACTCGTACAATCAATGATGCCACTGCCAACCCAACGCGCGGAAAATAATGACAATAAGGACACGACATCTCAAAATGGTATATAATGATTCGCGTGTAATCATATTCCCTCATAGTCATATTTGCAATTTTGGCAATCACCACGCTAACATCAACAAACACACCAATGGCATGTATATGATACAAATGATGATCATGGTGATGATGGTGACGATGATGATGATGATGATGATGAAAGTGACAATGATGATGACGATGATGATAATGATGTTAATCATGAGCATGATGATGATGACCACTGCGATGATGATCAAACAATGAAAAATTGACCGACCCCAAATGACCTGTTTCGATATGGCATGCGCAAATTTCCGACTGCATGTTGAACAGTACCATACGCAAAAGTGCAAACGCAGCAAAAAAATGCGTGGAACACAATTTGTCCGAATTGACGGAGACATCTGCTATCAAGCATGTTTATACTTGTTTATCACTACTAAGGCCATTGAGCTGATTTCGGTTTACGAATGATTTTTTTGCGTATAGCAAAAACCTATTTAGCTATAGTCTCATTTTTTTATTAAATAAAAATCACCTCGAAAAAAATTGTAACTCCGGAAACCATCGCCCCTTCAAAAAACACACATGGGCACCATTTTTCCCTCCAAAATTCGACTTGAATCATGACCCAAACATGGGAAGAAGAACACTAAGTTGGCGATACTCAAGGGCTTAAGTTGGAAACATATAGGGCCTGAACGGAAACCTCCCAGAAAAACAACATTTGTCATTTGGGATTACGACTACGGGTTTGTGCGAGGTAAAAAATGGTATATGCAAGTATCGGGATGTTTTCTACTATTTACAAACCCAAAAAACAGGCTGATTTTTTTTTGTGAACTTGCATTGCATTTGTTACTTTTTTTGACCTGATGCGGTTCAAAATCGGGCGTTGTCAAGATCGGAATGGTAGAATCGGAATCTAGTTGTTGAAATCGGAATCGTAGGATCGGATTCTAGTTTGGGAAGATTTCCGCGCGCGCAGCCGTATCTGCACCATCCCGACCATCCGACCGTCCCAACCAGCCTGTACCACACATGATGGGGCACAACAAAACCATCCCGACCATCCCGACCAGCCTGTCCCACGCACGACGCAGCACAGCCAAACCATCCCGTTGGCTCTCAACTCGGGCTTAGATATGGATAAGTGAATCATGTCTGGGAGTCGTGTGAGGTAATGGGGAAAATTCCCGGTTAATTACAGCGACCATCCCGACCATCCCGACCGTGCAGAACCATCCCGACCGTCCCGAGTCCCGACCATGAAGAATCAAAGCTTCTGACAAGCATCCCGACCATCCCGGACAAGCGCCGATGCTGATTCGGCCAATTAGGTTCTGATTCCTCATGCTGATTCTTCACGCTGATTTGGCTAAAGAGAATTTGATTTGGCAAATCCCCCTCCAAATCACGTCCAGCTCGTCTGTTTTCTGGGAGGTCAGGCTCACATCAGGCTTGCATGCTCCAACATCTATTTGAGTCCTCCTATGTGTTTTTTTGCTTGAAACTCAAAATCTATGTGAATAGTTGGTGGTGTTTGTGGTTTTGTAGTGATATGTTAGTGGTCTCCCACATATTTTGCCTCTTGGCAAATCCACATGAAAACCTATGCTAGTGGTTTTGTATGGATTTTGCATTTAATTCTCCACATCTGTAGCCTGAATGTGTTGAATCTGCCTGTGCAAAGACTCAGGCGAAAACGCTGCAATCTGTTTTGTGCCAAAAGGGGTCTCACGAAATTCAACTGAACATGATGTTCATGTCAGTAAGTGAAATGAAATGACAATGCAACACTCTTGTCGATTTGTGCGTGTCATCCTGGCACATGTGAGTGGGTTCCACAGATTTCCACACTCCTCCTTTGCAAATTGAGGTGTGGCTCACTTTGCAACCTTTTGTAATCCACTTTCCAACGCAATCTCAGATCTGCTGAATCTGCTGTCTGATTCCGCATATTTTCCAGTAAAAGAAAATTGAATTCCTCCTCAAGTTGTAAGGCTTTGAATGTCTTCAGCATACAGCCTTAATCTGTCTCTGCGCTCATCGTCTCCTCTATTTCGATGAAAACGATATAGTCGTTGGAATACATTCCTGATTGCATTTGTAACTCTCAGGCTAAGTCCTTCTGGTTGATCTCCTCCTGTAGCATCCAACAACAAGCAAATTGCCTGTTGGATCTCGCTTGCATCATGCCAGCGTTCTCCAGCAAGAGCTCTATTTAATTCTCTATTTTGATCTATTCTCATGTTTTGCAAAAGCGCTTCAACTCCGGTCGGTCTGGTGACTGAGTTGTCCTCCACATCTGTTGTCGGACTTTCTTCTTCTCCTTGTTCTTAATCAAGTTGATTCACAATTGGGTCAGTGGTATCTGCACGGTTTCTATGATTCCAAAGGACCAAATTGCCCCTTTCTTGCGCCAGCATGTGGCGGTACTGCTCGGCTGTCAGCTTGGCGTTTCTGACAAACCCTCCAAGTTCCATAAGCCCATACCTCACGCAAGGAACCATAACTTTCAATCATCTCCTGTTCAAATCCAGTCTGTCTTTCCATGACTGTTTCAATTCTGTCTTCTGCTGCCGCTGCTTTGGCATTGCAGTCATCCAATTTTCCAAACAAATCAGCCGCATATTCATAGCGGTTGGCCAATTGAATTTGGGCCTGTTCCACCTCACATGAAACACCATGAATGATGTTCTCCAGCGTCTTGATTTTCTGGTCAACCCATTTCCACGTTCTGAATGCCAGCTTTGAAAGTAAAACACCCATGCAAACCACCAAAACCACAATTGCAAAAGTGATCCATAATGTGTCCTGGTCGTCCTTGTCCACAACTGCACATTGCTGTTGTGCCATAGCTCCAAGTCCTGTAGGCTCGAGACCCCCAGTAACTCCCATGGCAATGCTCATGCGCAAAATTGCTTTGGAGATTCTTTTCAGTTGTTGGGAGTTGACACGTTTCTCGTTTTGAATGACATACTCATCTGCTCCAACTCTTGAAAAGTCTGTGATGTAAACCAGTCCACATTCATGCAAAAAAAGAACAATCTCTGTCTACTCAAAGTCTTTGTTCCAATGTCTGCCACATTGAATGCCGTTGGAACCTGTCGAAGTTTGAAGGTGTTGTCAGCTGTTTTCTCCTGTATCCACAAGAGTTTTCCTGCCAAATGCCTAACCTTACCTGACCCTTGTCTGCTTGCCAATTGCCTTGCTGAGCTTGAGTCGGTAAACTGGACATGTTCCAAAGGTTCATCCAAAACAAACGTAGCACATGCTTTGATGAATATCCCATCGCAAACGCAGCTCACCAAGCTATGTAATTCACTTTCAAATGGGTTAAGTGATATGACCCTTTGGCTTCTGCTGCTTGCATACATGAAACATCCATTGATGAAATGTACCCCACATGATGTTGAACGGCGCGTCGATTTGTTTGCACTCCAATCGGCATCGCTGAAGCTCTCTAATATCCATCTGCATTCTCCACCAGCATTCAGCTTTCCATGCCCATCTTGAGGAAATTGTAAATGCAAACCAATGTCCCCCACAGCTTTCATGAATCCCACAATCTTGCGCAATCTTGCAAGTGAGGTCAATGTAGGGGCACTCATGCATGACGCCAGTTCTTTTATGGTGTACATGAGATCTGGTCTTTCACGTCCTACATATAGGCATAGTCCCACAATTGAGCGGTATGCCTTCGAGTCCTTTTCTGAAAGTCTCTGCGAGTTGTCAGGCAATTGAATGCTTGCATCGCAGGGTACCTTTTGCTGTCGTGCTTGTCCAAAAGCTTTCTCAAATGAACAAACCACTTTGTCCACCGTTGTGCCTGGAGCCAAAATCATACCATCTTCAACTTCCAGGGTTTTCCTTCTCAGAAAGCTAATGCTTGATCCTGCACCTGTCAGCTCATCATGACTCACTGAGAATCTCTCCTTCACCTTCTTCAGAAACACATCGTTCCAGAAAGATTTCAATCCAACATAAAGAATATCATCAACGTGAATCATGATCGTGGCCTCAGGTGTTTTGGCTAGACGACATGGCTGCTCCGGGCAAAACTCAAAGTTCATGCTCTCCATCAGGAAGGCTTTCAAACACAAATACCACAGCTTTGCCCCAAGGCGTTGACCAGGCAAATTGCGTTTTATGATGAAAAGCTCTCCTGCAAAAACACAAGGACTGGGTCATCTTGTTCAACCTGTAAGAAAGCATCACGCACATCCAAACTCCCCATCACAAGTTGTACTCCTCCTTGGATTCTGCCTCAGCTATCTTACTTTTCATTCCAAGGTACTTCAACTGCAAAAGGTTTGCTGTGTGGGTTCCAGTGGCAAGGCTAGATGTGTCCAACCTCTTTGTTGTTGAAATTCACGTGCCCCCAGTCTGGATCTGCGCATCCATCTCTTTTTTTCATCTTCACCTTCTCCAAAAGTTTTCAACCTCCAGTCTCTCACCATTTTTGTGGTCAAACGGCCTGTGACCTAGCCTTGAAACTCAGATTGTGGTACCAACACCTGCACGCTGCACAAGCACTGAATCTCCACCTTGTCTGCAAGATCATCAATCCTCTTTTCTGGAATGCCAGGCGCTGGTTGGTCTGTTGGAGCGTCTGACCATAACTCCTCGGGGATTCCAGTCAAGACAACCGTGTCCTCACCAACCCAGTCA